CATAGTTTAGTCCCACATAAGTCCTGTTATGGAAACAGGAAATAGAAATGCTGTTTTTATTTTATTTATATTTTATTTTATTTTATTTTATTTTATTTTATTTTACTTTACTTTACTTTATTTTACTTTATTTTATTTTATTTTATTTTATTTTATTTTATTTTATTTTTAATGTTCATTTATTTTTGAGAGAGTGAAAGTGGGGGAGGAGCAGAGGATCCTAAGCAGGCTCTGTGCAGACAGCAGTGAGCCAGGCGTGGGGCTGGGACTCATGAATGGTGAGGTCATGACCTGAGCCAAAGTTGGAAGCTCAACCAACAGAGCTACCAAGGTGCCCCAAAATGCTGTTAATGGAGGTAATGTCACAGCCTTTCAATATCCTCCAGGATAGAAAAGCTTGGTAGAGCAGGGGAGACAATGAGGACGTATTTAGCTTAATTGTAAATTAATAAACTAAAATATTTTGGAATAACTTAATCTGTTTGATTAAAATTATAATCCATTTCATTAAGAATATCATTTTAAATATGACATTCAGAGAAAGATATGGATTTATTTGATAATAATACTTAGTATTTTTATAGCACTTGTTATCTGCCAAGCACTAAGTACTTCATATATGTTAATTCATTTAATCATCACAGCAACCTATGAAATAGATATGGTTAGTCTCCATTTTACAGATGAGGAAACATAGGTGTAGAGAGGTTAAGTGACTTCACCAAGTTTACCAGCTAGTAAGTGAAACAGCTGGCTTCCAAACCTAGGTTGTTTGGTTCCAGTGTCTGTTTTCCTAACCACTGTGCTCTACTGTTTCACCTCAACGTTACTTCTTTCTTTCTTTTTTTTTTTTTTTAATGTTTATTTATTTTTGAGAGAACACAGTGAGAGCCAGGGAGGGGCAGAGAGAAAGGGGGAGACACAGAATACGAAACAGGCTCCAGGCTCTGAGATGTCAGCACAGAGCCCAATGTAGGGCTCAAACTCACAAACTGTGAAATTGTGACCTGAGCAGAAGTCAGATGCTTAACCGACTGAGCCACCCAGGCACCCCATCTCAATGTTACTTCTTACAAAATCTTTGAATTACAGACTTACTGTTATCTTCATCTTAGAAATAATAAATCAAAACTCGGAGATGTTAGGTGAATTTTCTAAGATGCCAGAATTACAAATGTTAATTGAATTTCCTGAAAAGATATAAAGATCAAAGATCCATCTGTTTTTGTTTTTTTTTTTTTAGAAGCTAGTTGCCACAGAGGAAGATACTTTTTTAATTTCTAAGAGCTCTAAGTGTTCCTCTTTTGAGTTTTGTGATATAAATGAATTATATGACATCCTAGAGGAGCATCTTTTGTGCTAGTTTTGGTAGCTGTCGTGACACAATTCTATCTTAAATTTTATTAATGGATTAAAATATATGAAGTTATATGCAAATTTTGTTGACAGAAAAACACAGAAGGGAGAGTTTGTTATAAACAGAAATCTTAAGTGGTCACTCAAATTTAAAGGGAAAAAATAATTGGCTTTTCATTTTCAGAGTTACCTAGTAAATCCACAGAATAGTCAGCTGCTGTTCTTATCACAATTTTATATTTGTGCCAAGGATATTCTGTTATGGGGGGGATAAAAAGCCAAATGATCAAATCTCAAGTAATTGTTCCTCCCCTAAATTTAAAATTGAGGTAACAGAAATACTACTTTAAAACAATAGCTTAAAAATGTGGTTGGGATCCAGAAGTTAGACAAAGGCAATAGGCAGTTAAAATAATGGAGTATTGTACGGCTGATGCTGCAATAGGCAGGTCAGAAATCAACACTGGTGCTAGCGATGTGGGAGTCACAAATGGGACTCGTATATCAAAAGTCTTAAAGCATGGAAATAGAAGTTATAATATAGGAATCAAAAACTTTGGGATATAAGAGTCAAAAATGGCAGGATGAGGGTATCAAACATTTTCAAGTTTAGGAGTTGGTCTATGGGATGAGGACTCATGCACTGTGAATGAACTATGAAAATCTAGGGTGAAAAATGGAAGATGCAAAAAGTCTGGTCATAATGGAGTAGTTTATATTGAATTAGACCTCCCACTTAGATCAATTATAAAAACAGGACAAATATATATATGTATATGTATATACACACATACACATACATTTAACAACTATGTTAATATATTACATATATAACAACTACATATAAATTTGACAATAATTTAATGTGTATTAACAACTATACACCCACATACACACACGTAACTACTGCTTGAAGGCACTAGAGAACAACCAATAAACTTAAACCCTTGAGAGCCTGAAAGCCCTAATGGGCAAAATCCACATTCAGGTCAGTTCCCACACCCAGGGCAGTTTGAATTGGTGCAGGAGTAAAAGAGCTAAACAGACAGTAGCAGTCTCAGTAGGCTAGAAGCAGAGATGAGAGTTTAGGAACAAAAGCAGCTGGGATTTGAAGAGCACAATTCTAGAGAGGAGAAAATTACAGAGATGTGAGCCCCAAAATCTGTGTACAAATTCCCCTTAAATCATCAGTAAATTCTTAAGAGGCACATGCACACGAAAGACTTTAAGAAACTGAGCAGAACAGAAGCACCTGAAGAGTTGAACACTTTACAGTGTTGGGAAAATGGGGATTAGAGTTCGAGCCCCAGGAGGTGAAGGGGTCTTGGCAAACATTCAGGCCTCTAAGATATAGTAAGATCTAGTAAGAACCATGACCTAGGAATAAGGGCAAGACTGAAATAAAGTTGAATTTAAAAGCCTAAAACAGGGGCGCCTGGGTGGCTCAGTGGGTTAAGCATCTGATTCTTGATTTCAGCTCACGTCATGATCTCAAGGTTCATGAGTTTGAGCCCCATATCTTGCTCTGTGCTGGCAAGGCAGAGCCTGCTTGGGATTCTCTCCCTACCTCTCTCTCTCTACCCCTCCCTCACTCAAGCTCACATGCTCTCTCTCTCAAAATAAATAAACAATTTTATTAAAAATAAATAAATAAAATCCTAAAACCAAGTCTCAATAGGATTAAAGTGATCCACTTGTATTCTATCTACAATAAGAAAACTTAATCCTCTTTAGAGAAAGCTGCTATCATCCACAGCCTCTACAATTTTTCTTCCACATTGTCTGACATTCAATAAGAAATTGTAAGGCATGCTTTAAAAATAGGACCAAATACCAAAAGCCAGGAGGACCCATAGGTGATTCAGATATTGGAGTTATCTGATAGTTATCTGATATTATCATTAAATAATATGATTATAATGTTCAAGAAAACAGAGGAAAGATAAAGAATTTCACCAGAGCCTTAGAATCTGTTTAAAGAATGGAAGGGGGGAATTCAAATGAAAATTTTGGAATTGAAAATATTATAACTCAAATTAAGAATTCAATAGAGGGGTGTGTAGCAGCAGAACACAGTTTCTCCTAAATGGGTGACAGGTCAATAAAAACATGCAGATTAAAGCACAATGAGGGGCGCCTCTATGGCTCAGTTGGTTAAGCATCTGACTCTCGATTTCTGCTCAGGTCATGATCTCACAGTTTGTGAGATTGAGCCCCATGTCAGACACTGTGCTGACAGTATGGAGACTGCCTGGGATTCTCTCTCTCAAAATAAACATTTTTTTAAAAAGCACAATGAGAAAAAAATACAAAAAATACAGAAAAGAGTATAAGAGATATGGAATACTCAAAAAAGTCTAATATACCTGTCACTGGAGTTCCAGAAGGAGAAGAGAAAGGAACAGAAGCAATATTTAAGGAAAAACCGAGAATTTTCAAACACTGATAAAAAATATCAGAATTCATATTTAAGAAATCTTATGAATCCCAAACAGGATAATATAAACACATACAGTTAACATTATACTCAAACTGCTGAAGACCAAACAGAAAGAAAAAAGTTAAAGCAGCTAGGGGTGAAAGAAGGACATGCATTACCTACAAAGGAACAACAATCAGACTAATGGCTAACTTCTCAACAGAAACAACAGCAACCAGAAATCAAGGGAAAGACATTTTTTTTTTAATGCTGAGAACATTTTTTTAAAGACAAAATGGAATTCTATACCCAGCAAAACTATCCTATAAAAATATAGGTGAAATAAAGACAGATTCACGTTAAGAAAAGATGAACTTGTCACTAGTAAACCTGAACTATAAGAAGTATTAATTTTTCACACTAAAGTACAATGCCCCCAATGTCAATCTTCAAGAAGAAATGAAGAGCACCAGAAAGGAGGGACTATGATCTAGTTTTGTTCAAATAAATTCTCACTCTAATGTAATCATTTGGTGTAAAATACAAATCCATATTCAATGAAATATAGACAAGAAGTAGTAAGAGGTGAGCTAGAATTTTTTGACTTAACACCATGTAGACCCGTTTAATTTTAAGCCAAGTGAAGTTAAAAAGTAAATGGAAGTTGGGCTTTGGAAGTCAGGGGTCAAGGACTGCAGTTGACATGAAGGAGTCAAAGTTATGGCTGATTGTGTCATGGCAAGTGGATGTTAGGGGACAAGAACAGTTGTGGAGATGGGAGCATCTGAAGCCATGGGCAATAATTGTGCTGTAGGGCTTAAGGATCCATAAAGTTTGTGGGAGATGTAAGAGAGCCAGGGGTCCCGGGTGACAGTTAGGTTGCCATGGTTGTGTCAAAGGAAAGATGTCAGAGGTCGTGACCCACCTGAGGTGGCAGCAGCGGTTAAAACTTCCGTGTGGGGGGCAGTTGAGATTCCCAGCTTCCCCAGGCAGGCCCTGCCCCCTCCGGACCGCCCCCCGCGCTGTCTCCGTCGCCCCTCCCCGCCCCGCCAGGCCCCGCCCCGTCCAGCGCTTCAAACGCAGGGGCCGCGAGGCGGAGGCGACGAACTTGCGAGCAAACCAGCGGCGCAGGGACCCCGCGGGCGGCTGGGGTTTCCGCGGCGCCCGCCTCTGCTCCCTCCCCTCGGGCGCTCGGGGCGGCCGGCCGGCGCCGCCTCCCGGGAAGATGGCGCTGCACTTCCAGGTCAGTGCGCTCTGCACCGCGGGTCCCCGCTCCGCCGCCTCGGGAACCCGGCGGCGCGCTGCGGTCTGGAGACTGAGGGCCGAGAACCGTGGCGGAGGCCGCGGGGCCGCTGACGGGGCTTCGTAGCCCCAGCCCCCGCCCCGGTTGGAGACTCGGGCACTGGCCTGGGCTGCACACCCCGGGCCCGGGCCCGAGGAGGGGACGGCCCGAGCTCTGGGGTGGCGGGTGGAGGGGCAGGGCCAGGTTCGGAGCTCGCCCTTCGGGGGAGGTTCGGATGCTGAGGACCTGCGGCGCGGGAGCCCGGACTCGTTGCTCGGGGCGCGGCGCGAAGGGCGGCTCTGGCGGCGCCCAGGCAGGTGGGGAGCCCGGCCGGGCCGGGCCAGCCTTCCCGCCGCGTCGCTGGCCACCGCTCAATCGCCTGACTTCACACGGTTAGGACGCAGCTCGCGAAGGGGCTGGGGTTCGCCGCAGGAGCGGCGGCAGCGGTTGGATTTTAATTGGCTAGAGCGGGCAGGAGCTGTATCTGTAGGGAGTTGCGAAGGAGTGCTTCGCGGGAGCCTTATTGGAGGAGGAAACGGGGGCTGCGTGCCCGAGGAGCGTGGAGATGATAAGGACGGGACGCGTGCTTGAGTAGGAAGGCTCCCGTATTCTCGGGCTGCACTGGCATATGCATCCAGTTATTCATTCAACAAACATAGAGCTTCCCAACCGTGTCTCCAAGCACTGTGCACAGTTCTGGGATAAAGCATCTTACCATCCCTGCCCTCATAGAATTTACAGATAATTACTGTACATGTGAAAATGGTATGGTAAGACTAACCACAGGATACCACGGGAACATTGAAGATGGGTCGTCAACCCGGTGTGTGTGTGTGTAGAGAAGTAGTGAGGCAGAGCTGTTCTCAGAGGGGATGCTTTGAGTTTCTTTGAGCTTCCATTCTTCCACTTATTTATTGAGTTGCTGCTTTGCTAGGCACTGAAGACAGCTCTAGCAAAACTGTGATTTCTACTCTCAGGGAACTTGCAATCGAGTGGGTCTTGAAATAATTGTAGGAGCTAGCCCGGTGAAGAGGAAGGGCAGAGTATAGAGGCAAAATGACCATGTGAATGATGGCAAAGAATTGTGGAAGAACATGGCACAATGCAAGAAATTTGGTCTGGCTGGAGCATAAAGTTCATATAAAAGGAAAGCGAGAAGTGGAGGCTGTGGATGGCAGCAATGTCCTTGGAGGGGTAGTCAGCTTCATAATGTGGTGACAGTGTCTGTATGTGACACGTTCCTTTTGTAGACTTCATTGGACCGCCTGTGGTCATACTGGCTCATTTCTTATTTATTGATTTCTTCCAAAGGATCTTTTCTTTCCAACCAGCCACTCTCCTGTCAGGTAATTGACAGCTCTAGGATTTATAGACCAGGAAGTAGTGAGCCCCACACATTACCTTTTGACTCCTTGCGGCTTCTAAGGGCATCCAGGTCAACATAATGTTATTTATTTCCATTTTGGTAAACATGCCCTCTGGGAAATTTTCATGGGAAAAATCTTGCAGGGAGGACTTAGGGGTTATAAAAAGGTAATCAGGTGTTCATAGTTCAGGTGTAAATCTTGAGGGTAAATTAAAGACTGTGGTGGAAGTTTGGAAGTTTTCAGACGTAGAAGATGATGCATAATAGTAAATCACTCAGTCCCGGAAGACTTCTTCAGATTCAGGTAGAGTGTTGGAAAAATTAGCCGCTAATGCCAAAACTACCTATATTGGTTTTCCAGGAATGTATTTCACAGCAGCTTGAAAGTATAGATGGACAATTAAAGATCACAGTTTTGGGAGCCAGAAAAAAATTCTGAAACTTCTCAGTTTGAAGCATTGCCAGCATATGAGACCATATTGTTCTCCAGTTAACTCCAGGAGCATTTATTAATAATGATAACTGGTACCTAGCATTTTAAATTTTCACATGCTTATTGTAGATTTTGAGCCCCACAACTAATTTGAGAGGTGTGCATATATACATACATATATATATATATATACACTTACATGTATACATATACATGTTTTATTCTTGAACACACTGAATCTTAGAACCGTTGTGACTTGCCCAAGGCTATAGAGTTAGAATAGACATAATAACTCATAATTCTGTATTCTTTCATGTCGATATCTTACTGTCACCTATTCACCAGGGTAGCTGGTCCAAAATTATGCCATTAGGGCGATGAGTAAAGATGTGGACTTGTGTAAGGTGAGGTTAGGGCGCTTCTCCACAATCTTTTTCACATCATGGCATACATAAAAAATGGTAATGGTCTGGTTCATTGACATAAATTGCTCATAGCCAAAAGCCTGGCAGCCTGGAGGGCAAGGGGATCAATAGCCCAGGCATACCATTCAAGGTACATGCATCCTGGTTAGGAAGCTGTAAGTGAGTTAGGGTACTCTGTCCCAAAGGAAGCAATGGATCTGGGTTACCATCTGAGAAGAGACAGTCCAGATTGGGAGGAGGAAGGCAGAATGAGGAAAGATAGAGCTGGGAGCAGAGTGAGGAAGATAGAACAGAGGGATTGAGGAGTGCCTGGGCGGCTCAGTTAAGTGTCCGACTCTTGATTTTGGCTCAGGTCGTAATCTCACAGTTCGTGGGATCAAGCCCTGCGTCGGTTTCCATGGTAATAGCATGAAGCTTGCTTGGGATTCTCTCTCTACCCCTCCCCTGTTTGCCTTCTCTCTCTCAAATAAATAAATAAATAAACATAAAAAAAATAGAACAGAGGGATTGAGATGAGAATCAAGAAGTGACATGAAGAAAAATTTAGGGTACCCAGTTTGTCAATCTTTTTGCTTTCAGAATTGTTCCAGAAGCAGGGACTATGGCCATGCTTCTTAATATGCAGCCAGGCTGCCTGATTTAATCTAAATGAGATTGTGAACTATTGTAAATGTCCTGGTAACATGATGGAAAAGAGGTTTGGGAAAGATCATCCTGGCAATATGGACTTGAATGGGAGAAACTGTAGATGCAAGTCCAAGATAGTGTTGTATAATTTATCAGTAACTGAAGGGATTATTTACAATTTATTGTGAATCTGTTGTGTGCCAGGCATTGGGTTAAGCTTTTTGTGTTTGGTCTTACTCTTCACAATTATTTTGGAAGGTGGATCTTACTACCTGCGGTTTCAAATGCGAGGTGTTGAAGGATTAAATAATTTGCTTAGGGTCGGTAAGTAGGTGGCAGATTCCAAAGCTGCCACTGTCATTCCCAAAGAAGCTGCTGAAGACATCCAGGGCACTGAAGGCCACAGTTAGAAAATACTGTTCTATTGCTATGTTGTCTATGAATATCCTGTAGAGGTGAGTCTGAGTCTGTAGTTAAAAAGAATTGTTAAGATTTTATAACAAACTAGTATATCCTGGAAATAAGCTACACTGCAAGCTTAAAGGATGTAATTTGCAAGACTGCCCTCACTTCTTTCTGACACCGACTGCATATTGAGAGTTTCCTAGAACTACCCTCAGATTTGATAGTTTATCAAAACGACTCAGAATTCACTGAAGGCTGTCATATGCATGCAGTTTATTACTGGGCAAGTACACAGATTGAAATTGATTAAAAGAAGGGATGCAAGGGGCAGAGTCTGGGAGGGTTGCAAAACAAAACTTTTACTGTCCCTAAAAGTAAAACTTTTACTTTTAACTGGGACATGTTACGCTCCCAGCCTGTATGTGTGACAGTATGCTTTGAGTATTGCAAACCAGGGAACTTTTTATTGGGGCTTCATCACATGGTCACGATGGACTTTTCATTGCCCATGTGATTGACCTCAGTCTTTAGGCTAATACCATGTGATCCAAAGCTCCTACCCTTAAACACACAGTTGGTCTTTCTGATGTGGCCAGCCCCCAATGTAAGACTGTGGACTGTGCACCCTCCAGCCCCTTGCACCTGAACAAAAATAGGCCTATCAGATATAATATAGGTTACCTCCTAGAATCTGAGGGTAAAGCCCAGACTTTTCTTTGGGTAAGGCCAAACTCTTTAACTCTACAGGAGGGACTAAGGAGGAAGAAGCGACAAAGTTAACGTCAAGGTTATGAATCTAGATCCTAGTCTAGACCTTTGAAACCACTGAAAACAGACACTTGAAATGGAAGTCTGTGGGAAGTATGTTCAATTCAGTTTCTGACATTTTGGGGTTATTTTCAGCATCTTTCTGAATTTTCCAAGAGGGAGAAATTGGTAGATATAAAAATGATGAGCAGACAGAGTTGAAAGTAGGGAGTAGGACATCGTCTGCTTATCTCCTTGCAGGCCAAAGTAAAGGGTGGCAAGGTGCCAGGATGGTAAGGAGAAAACATGTTCTTGAGGCATATAGACTTGTATTTATTTGGCTTAAAGTTGACCATTTACGCCATACTTGATCTTGAGCAACTTACATATATTTGATCTCTCGGCCTTGGTTTTTTTGTCTTAAAATGGGTGGGCTAAAAATATGTACTTTGTAGGAGCCCGTTTGTCAGGATGGGTTGAAAAATAAAAGAATGGGAATACTTTTGTAAACTATAAAGCTCTAAAAACAGATACTACCCAATATATTGTAGAAGGAAGAGTTTCTAGAGACCCTGGAATAAGCTTTCAGGTATGCTCAGGAAAAGGTAGTAAAGGGAAGAAGAAACAAAGATTTGTGGGAAAGGAAAGTATTTTCTGTTAATGGTAATCAAGAAGCTTAATTCCAGATAGCAGGAAAGATACAGAGAAGTAATTGAGTTTTAAATTCAATTGGTGTAGAATTTTTCTGGTTCATTCTTTTTCCCTCCCCCCCGCCCCCCCAGCTTATAGTACGACATAATTGGAAAATAATAAACTACACATATTTAAGTTGTGCAGGAGTTTTGACTTCTGTATACACTTGTGAAATCATCACTGAAATCAAGATAATGAACATGTCAATCACCCCCAAAAGTTTCTTTTTATTCCTTTGTAATCCCTCTTACTGTTCCCCTATCCTGTTCTGCTCTCCCTCCCTCCCTGGCCAGAAACCTGTCATCTGCTTTTTGTTCCTATAATGCCTTCCAGTATATACTCTTTTTGTCTGGTTTTGTTTTTGTTTTTCTCACTATCTACCCATTGATAGATACATGTGCGGGAATAGAAGAAGTCACATCACTTAGGGGTTAATTATATGTCAAGCACAAAGGCCAGGGATGAGGTCATAATAATGTAGAAGATCCTTATTTAGATTATAGGCAGAATTATGTTATTGTTTCTTAGGCTATGGAAGTTGGATGCTGTCTGTTTGTATTTGATAGTTATTGTTTGGGAGTTAAGTGATGTCCAATTCTACTTGTTCTGCCTATTAGTTATTTTTATGGGCCTCTAATATTGCTATTAAGCCTTGTAGGAGCTTTGATAACTCAAACCTGATTTGTCAGCAAATCAAGAAAGGATCCATTTATCTGAGGCATTCTAATGTTAACTGTATGTGTAGACATCACTGTTTTTAAAAAAATTTAAAATTTTTTTTTTTAACATTTATTTATTTTTGAGACAGAGAGAGACAGAGCATGAACAGGGGAGGGGCAGAGAGAGAGGGAGACACAGAATCGGAAGCAGGCTCCAGGCTCTGAGCCATCAGCCCAGAGCCCGACGCGGGGCTCGAACTCACGGACCGCGAGATCGTGACCTGAGCCGAAGTCGGACGCTCAACCGACTGAGCCACCCAGGCGCCCCTAAAAAAATTTTAAAGCTTATTTATTTTTGAGAGAGAGAGAGAGAGAGAGAGAGAGAGAGAGAGAGAGAGAGATAGCATGAGCAGGGGAGGGACAGAGAGAGAGGGAGAGAGAGAATCCCAAGCAGGCTCTGTGCCGTCAGCACAGAGCCCAATGCAGGGCTTGGACCCATGAAACCGTGAGATCATGACCTGAGCTGAAACCAAAAGTTGGATACTTAACTGACTGAGCCACTCAGGCGCAAATTTATTAATTCATTGTGGAAAAGTCTCTCTTTATAAATTCTCTGGAAAGTCAAATGCTAATCAGAAGATTATTTGGTCAGTCAGCATTCACCACATTGTGAGTGTTTTAAATGTTTAGATAATGCCTTTCCACCAGGGTAAGGATCTTTAGGTATGTATCCTTTTCTCTAAAAAGATTTGATATGCCTGCCATGTGTTTCATTATTATCATTACAGTGAAAGAATGACTCAATTTTTTTGCCCCTTTGTTTTAGCCTTTTGTAAGAGAAAGTTTAAGCCTCTCCCATTTTATCTTGCACAGCCTTTCAGTTAATACTCAGAAATACCTTTGGAAAGAAAGGGGTAATTTGTAGTATTGTTGATTTAAATGAATACTATTTAAATATGCTCCAGACTTACTTTGTGTTGAAGTTCTCTAAATCAGTATAGCAAAACAGACAAAATAATTTCCAGAACTTTCTGGAATCTTTCCAGATATATTTACTTAGGTCCCATTGATTTGATCAATATTGTATTTGTATTAGTTTCCTAGTACTGTGGTGACAAATGACCACAAACTGGGCGGGTTAAAACAACAGAAATTTATTGTCTTAGACTTATGAAGGTCAGAAGTCTGAAACTAATGTGCCAGTAGTATTGGTTCCTTCTGGAGGCCTTGAGGGAGAAACTGCCCTATGCCTTTTTCCTACTCTGTGATGGCTGCTGGCAATCCTTGGCGTTCTTTGGCATGTAGATTCATCATTCCAGCCTCTGCCTCCTTCTTCACATGACCTTCTCCCTGGTGTCTCTCTGTGTCTTTGCATCTCACACGTACCTCTCCTTTCTTTTATGAGTCATTAGACTTAGGGCCCTCCCTAAATCCAGGATGGTGGATTTGCAGTGACCTTTAATGATTTGCAGTGACCTTTATTTCCAAATAAGGGTACATTCAAAGGTACTAGGGGTTAGGAATTAGACCTTTTTTTTTTTTTTTTTAACATTTATTTATCATTGAGAGGCAGAGAGAAACAGAGCATGAGCATGGGAGGGGCAGAGACAGGAGGAGACACAGAATCCGAAGCAGGCTCCAGGCTCTGCGCTGTCAGCACAGAGCCTGATGTGGAGGCTTGAACTCACAAACCTTGAGATCATGACCTGAGCCGGAGTCAGAAGCTTAACTGACTGAGCCACCCAGGTGCCCCTAGACCTATCTTTTAGAAGGATACAGTTCCACCCAGTACAATATTATTATTAAGTCATATTAATAAACAACTAGCCTTCATAAGGAGTACTATGTGCCAGAAGTTATGTGACCCTTGCTCATTTCATCTTCCAGACAAATCCGTAAGATCGGTTTGAGTCTCACTTATTTTGCTGCCTTTTGTTTTTAAATAGTTAGGTCACTATTTCTGGCCCAGTTGTTTTTGAATCCAAAGTCTACTTCTTCAAAGACTCTTAGACCTAGATGAATGCATGACAGCAGGATCAATTTGTCATTAAATTTTCTGGCTATTACCAGCTCTGAAATTCAGCCTTTCAAATTTATTAGATGAAGGAAAAGACTTCTAAGGTTGATCATGAGCCAAGAGAGAGAAAAAGGTAGCTCTTTCTGTTTTTGTATTTCTTACCCTTGGAGAAAATATGGATATTTGTATGTATTCATGAGCCATAAATTTTCTATACATTTTAATATTATGATCATTATGGGGCAGTACTCTGAGGGCTTGCTGGGCCAGCCTAGTTGGGGGAAATGTGGAAAATGTGGCGCATTGGAGGTCCTTTATCGTCATTTATTCATTTGAAACCTTTCTTTTTTACTTTCAATCTAGCAGAAAATTCTCAAGTCTGGGATGTTGGGCTCTGACCTGGATAGGAAGTGGAAAATGCCATAAATGAGCTAAGAAGGAGAGAGAAGGAAAAAGAATAAAAGGGCTAGAGGAAGTCTCATTTCAGTGTTTTGCCTGTATTCCTGTTAGCCAAAGATATATGTATTTGAGAGAATGTTTGGACTAGTGTAGCTGTAAGGCCGCCACATAAAAATTCAGGCCAGAAAGGATAAAAAGTGGCATTTCTTTAGGAATATCCTATTACCTTCATATGACTACTGATACTGAAATCTGTGCCTTTTATTTGTCCTCCAAAGAATTAATTCTATTTCAAGTTCAAAGTGAAGTAGTTTTGGGGCACCTGGGTGGCTGAGTCAGTTAAGCGTCTGACTTTGGCCTAAGTCATGATCTTGCCGTTCCCAGCTTCAAACCCCGTGTCAGGCTCTGTGCTGACAGCTCAGAGCCTGGAGCCTATTTCAGATTCTGTGTCTCCCTCTCTCTCTGCCCCTCCCCCACTCGCACACACTCTCCCTCTCTCTCTCAAAAATAAATAAACGTTAAAAAAATTAAAAAAAAAAGTGAAGTAGTTTTTGTCAAGTGCCTTTAACAAAAATTGTTATAAGCTGGAAGGAATGCTGATTTCATTTTCCTCTAGATTTTATCCATGTGTTTTATATCTTCAGATGAAATTATATTTCTAAGCAGAATGAATTATTCTTTGCGCCTATAAAGTAGTAGGCTACAACATGATAACTAGTTATTACACTGCTAGAAAAAACATGGGGTTAGGTCATAGTTCCTGAAAATCATGACAGTTTGCCTGCAGCACTATGAGTCATTAGTTCAGAAGCCCCAGATCAGTGTATATTTATAATTATCTTTGCTTTTTTATGGATGGATCCATTGAAGTTCTTGCAGTTTGAGAAATAATGTAATTGGCATGGCATCTGCCACTTGCACCTGATAATCCCCGCCTGCCTATGTCTTTAGCTTCCTTTGGCATCTCCTCCTTGCTGTCTACCAGTGACATTGACCTTTTAATGCCTTGAAATGATTACGCTCTGTTCTGGGCCCTGGTAAATAGTCCAGGCTATTTCTTGGCCTGGACTGCTGTCTAGTCTTTTTTTGCTTGGCTTACCCTTTTAGGATAAATGTTACTACTTTAGGCAGTAACATTTGGAAGTTGTTACTACTTTCATACTCCTTCAATTAGGCAAGTCCTTGTCTTTCTATACTGTTACTTTTCCACCATAGCACTATCAATTTATAAATAAGTAATTTGGAGTTAGGAGATTTTTTGTTCACCACTGTGACCCCTAGTTGGTAGCCGTAGCCCCATAAACATTTATTGAATTGATGAATACAGGCATGGTATTCACATCCCTCAGATCCTGTGATTAATACATTTACCTTATTTTTGTTTTTCACTCAAGTAAAATGTTAATTTCTTTTTTCTTCTCAAGAGTTTGGCTGAATTGGAAGTGTTATGTACTCACCTCTACATAGGGACTGATCTTACGCAAAGAATAGAGGCTGAGAAAGCACTCCTGGAACTTATTGACAGCCCAGAATGTCTCAGCAAGTGTCAACTTTTATTAGAACAAGGAACAGTAAGTATTTGATAACAGCGATTAACCATGAAAGACCAGGAGATATATGTCAGTGTTAATGAGCTTGTGTAGTTGAGCAATGATAATTGATAGATAGTGCTGCATGTCCTTTTAATGTAGTTTATTTCACTGTCAAAGAGATTAATCATAGAAAGAATTGGAAAGCCTGGAAAGCAAACTTAGGGAAGAGGCCAAGAGGTGGAAATAGGCATGAATTGAAATAATTTCTTGATTCTTCTTGGCCCTTTTTGATGTCTCATAACAGTAGTGGGCATTTTTAGAAAGTTGATTAGGAGCTTTTTAAAAAAAAAAATTCCAGGTGAGAGAGGCAGATTGTAATTAACTGTGAAACAAGAAGGAATGATTCATAGGAATGCTAACTCTTGCCTGCTTCTAGAGATTCTTAGCCATTCACTCGGCAGGCATGGAGCAAATACTTAAATGTAAAACGAGGCCTAGTACTACCTACTTGTTTTAGGCACACGCACCAAAGTAACTTCTAGTTTAGTCGGAGAGACATAAATGTGTAAATAAAAAGCTAAAGAACGATATGGTAGTGCTACAGTAGGAGACTGTATGAACTAGAACAGAGGTCAGCAAACTTTTTCTGTAAAGGGCCAGATTGTAAATATTGTGGGTTTTGCAGGCCAAGAGGCTAAATCAAGGATATTTTGTAAGTACATGTATAAGAAGAGAGAAAACAGATTTCCACAAAATTTTATTGTTGAAACTGACAGTATAATAATTGAGTGCAGTATTTTGTAATACACATCTACTCAGAAGAATTAAATTGTTCTTTCGGGGATAATACAATTGACCTAATTGGGGTTCAAAGTTAGTACTTCTGTCATCAAGTTGATTGCTGATGTTCATGTGTTACTACAGATCTGTAATGAAATTTTTTATATTCTGTCTTTGAAAATGTCTTTTCACACAGATAAGTACTGCCAAGTATTGATATCAGTCCATAAACATGGTTTTAATTAAGCACATTCATCACTTAGAAGGCATTTATAGAACTCTGTTCAAACTGCTCTTGATGTTTGCCTTTCAGAATGTCATTATGTTGCAGATTTGTCCCTTCCAATTGAAAGTTAGGTGGAAGCTCCTCAATTGCTCAGTTAAATGGATTTTAAAATATGGAAATTTCCTTTGCACTTGCATCAGGGTCTGAAAAATGCTGCTGGAACTATAGTTGGCGCTCAGAAAACATACCCAAGAATAGAGATCTTGCCACTTTTAACTTTGATGGTGTGGAAAGTATATAAAGCAGCTTAATACTAGTTGTGATTGAAACAGTGTTTAGTTATTATGAAATGGCTTTGCTGCATTATAAGTTTTATAATATAAGTACTAAGCACTGTTTGCCTTTTAGGCAAGTTTGTAACTTTAGGGTGAATTCATTAAATTACATTATCAAGTTTGCTGCAAAAGCTAATTTTCAAAGCCACTTCACATTCAACAGTGGTGGTTTAAAATGGTTCTTCTCTTCAGAAAATGTCAGTCTCAGCCCTGAGCTAAACAAAGTTGCAGTAAAACTTTACCTCTGCTAAGCTATTTAACTACTGTGTGTGTGGTGGGTAGGGGGTGGGTGAGCAAGTCAGGACTTGCAGCTCCTATTTCTGACAGAAATTCACAGAACTGAATGAAGATAAGTTCACCAAAGTGAATTGAAACCTACTGTTTACACCACCTATTCATTAACACAGGATAGACTCAAATAATTTACTACAAAGTATCTACTGAAGAATAATACAATGAAGAACCATAGGTTTTAGACTCTTACATTTTTGTAAGCTTTTTAAGTTTGTACAACTAAGCCCTTTTCTGCTCCATGTATTTTTACCACCACTCGTGACACATCTTAGCAGATACCACTTCAGGTTGCACACAATTAGTGTTTTCTCAGTTTCTTTGAAAATATTTCTGGCCTGTAGTTCCACACAGACTCTTCATGGAGGTCTTTAGTCATTTCAAACTTAGCATTGACTTCTGGAATAAGTGGATAGTATTGGTAGCAGTATGAGCAGAATTAGTAAGGTCTGTCAGCTCGTCAGGAACTAAAGAGAACTTCCAAATCATTTGCTTTCTTTAAAATGGACTTTCCATGTTGCTCTCACGTCTTCAATTGCTTGAGCATTGTTCTCATTGAAAGGCTAGTAGTCTGAGGTTTATTTTTTCTGCAGATATAACTTCAGCTCCTACAATAAAATAATGGTGATTTAATTAATTCTCCATTGGTAAATGACTTTTCTTGCTTGGCTAACAAATGAGTCACTTCAAAACTTTGGTCTCAGCCCCATTTTCTTTTCGTGAGGAAATTCCACTGTGAGGAGATACGCTGTTTTAATTTTCTTCTTTTTTTGGACTTTTGATTTCCTGTGAGTTAGGAATACTGGCATGAATACTTAGTCTGATACTGTCAATACATAGTCTTCTAGGACAGCTATAGTGCCATGAAGAGCACATTGCTCTGCCATCTAATTCAGTAACAAAATTATCCAAACTCTACTGTGCCTTAGAAGTTAGATATTTGAAATCTGCTTTTATCTTTTCTTGTTTTGACATGATGGTTATGTACTCGTAATAATCAAAGGTACATGTCATGGGGATACCTATGACACTCTAGCCGCTATGGAATTATAACTATATTAGTGCAATTTATAATGCATTGAGCAGCAGTAGGTGGCAATGAGTGCCACATACAGTCTGTCTCAGCTATTCCACTGTGCCGTTATAGCATGAAAGCAGTTATAGGTAGTATACAAATGGGTGAGCGTGGCTGTGTTCTAATAAACTTTATGGACACTGAAATCTGGGCTTCATATACTTTTCACATGTCACAAAATATTATTATTATTTTTATTTCTTCCCCAACTGTTTAAAATAGTAAAAACCATGCATAACCCACAGACCTTGCAAAAACAGATGGCATTTGATCCACGGGCCTTAGTTTGCTGACCTCTGGTAAAGAGAAAAAAAAGAAACAAGAAACTGCTGGAGGTATAGTGAATAACTGAACCAAATTTTGAAGGATTGAGGACACTGTTAAGATAATTGGTGGCCAAAGAGTACAATACAGTAAGACATGGATCTGATGGGGTGGGGAGGTCAGGGTGGGAAAGACACTGAAAGGATCTGAAAGGCTTTTGTGGTTAGAGGATGGTGAAGAGTGCAACCAGGTGAATTTGAAGAGCTAATCAGAGGCCAGAACGTACAGTACTGTGTAGACATGGTAGGAGTATTTTATTTGAACTTGATCAAAATAATTTTTTTACTGTTGATTATTTGCTGCTGTTTGGAAAAGAGACCTATACCTTCCTCAACTACTGAACTCTTACGAGAGATTGTACACATATATGTGTATTTACATATATATTTTATTCATTGTAAATCTTGCCAGTTTGGAAAGCCAGAAGAATTTCCCTTATTGCTTAGGAAAAGTTCTATCATAGTGTTTTGATGATTTCATTTGTGGTAATAATAAATACAATTTATTATTCCTTACAGACATCCTATGCTCAGCTCCTTGCAGCAACATGTCTTTCAAAACTTGTTAGCCGAGTCAGTCCTTTGCCAGTTGAACAGAGGGTAGATATCAGTAAGTGGTTTATTATACTTTTTATGAAATTGTACTTTATTCTTTTAATGTATAGTTGACACACAATGTTACGTTATATAAAATTACACGTTAAAATAATGTTTTCCTTTTCAATATGTTAAACTGTTAACAGGCATGCAAGTTATTTAAAATTCTGTTATTTTAAAGATGAGTTGTCAAGTCTCCTTTATCCATCTAGTGGTGCACAATGATGTATTATACAACAATGTGTAATCAAAAAAGCATTTGCTTAGTTTAATAATAAATCATAACAAGCGCTTTATTGTGTGTACTCTTTGATAAGATTTGTACTATCTCATTTTATCCACCAATCTTATGGAGTGGGCACTATGGTTATCCTCATTTTTTCACACATGTGTGTGCATGTGTGTGTGTGAGGGGGGAGGGGCAGAGAGAGCGGGAGAGAGAGAGAATGCCAAGCGGGCTCCACACTGTACTGTAGTGCAGAGCCCTACATGGGGCTCCACCCCACAGACTGTGAGATCATGACCTGAGCCAAGATCAAGAGCTGGATGCTTAACCAACTGAGACCCCCAGGCACCTCTATCTGACTTATTGTATACACACACCCACACATTTTAAATAAATTTTATTTTTTTTAGAACAGTTTTAGGTTTACAACAAAACTGAGCAAAAATTAGAGTTCTCCTGTCCTCTGTTCCGCACACATGTATAGCCTTTTCCAGTCTTAGCATCCTGCACCAGAGGTGCATTAGTTATTGATGAAACTGCACTGACACATGATCATTACCCAAAGACCATAGTTTATGTTAGGATTCACTCCTGGTGTTGTGCATTCTGTGGGTTTGCATAAATGTATAATGACATATCCCCCCATTCTACAGAATAGTTTCACTGCCCCCCAAAAATCCTCCATGTTCCTCCCCCCCTCTAACTCCTGATCACCACTGATCTTTTTACTGTTTTCATAGTTTTGCCTTTTCCAGAATGTCACGTAGTTGAAATCATACATTGTAGCCTTTTCAGATTGGCTTCTTTTACTTAGTAATATGCACTTAACATTCTCCCATGTCTTTTCATGTCTTGGTAGCTCATTTCTTGTTAGCACTAAATGATATGCCATTGTCTGGATGTACTACAATTTATTCATTCACCTGCTGATGAACATCTTGATTGCTTCCAAGTTTTGGCAATTAAGAACAAAGCTTAAAGCAGGTTTTTGTGTGGACATAGGTTTTCAGCTCATTTGGGTAAATGCTAAGGAGAGTGATCGCTAGATTGTATGCTAACAGTATGTTCAATTTTGTAAAGAAGTGTCATACTGTCTTCCAAAGTGGCTGTACCATTTTGCATTCTCACCTGCAGTGAATGAGAGTTCCTGTTGCCCTACTTTCCTGCCAACATTTGATGTTTTAAGTGTTTGAGATTTGGGCTGTTCTAGTAGGTGTGTTTTAATTTGCAGTCCCCTGATGACATATGATTGAACATCTTTTCATAGGTTTATTTACCATCTGTCTATTTTTTTGATGAGGTGTCTAAGTCTTTTGCTCATTTTGAAATCAGGTTGTTTTCTTATTGTTGAGTTTTAAGAGTTTCTGTAAATTTAGATAGCAGTCCTTTATCAGTTAAGTCTCTTGCAAAGATTTTCTTCCAGTCTGTGGCTTGCCTTCTCACTCTCTTCACGTTGTCTCTCGCAGAGCAGAAGTTTTAAATTTTAACTGTGTCCAGCTTATCACAAATTATGCCTTTGTTGTTAGGTGTAAAAAGTCATTGCAAACCCAAGATGATGTAGGTTTTTTTCCTATGTTGTCCTCAAAGAGTTTTTTTTTATAGTTTTACACTTTACATTTAGGGCTGTGATCCTTTCAAGTCGATTTTTGTGAAGAGTGTAAAGTGTGTGTCTAGATTCATGTTTTTGCATGTGGATGTCCAGTTGTTTTGGCACCATTTGTTGAAAAGGCTGTTTTCACTCCATTCTTTTTTGCCTCTGTTCCTTTGTCAAAGATTTATTGACTGTATTCACGTGTGTCTCTATTCTCTTCTCTTGAGCTTTTCTTTCACCAGTACCACGCTGTCTTGATTGCTGTAGTTTTATAATAAATCTTGAAGTTGGGTAGTGTCAGACCGCCAACTTTGTTCTTCCTCAGTATCGTGGTGGCTATTCTAGGTTGTTTGCCTCTCTGTGTAAACTTTAAAATCAGTTTTATAAATACCCACAAAATAATTTGTTGGGATTTTGATTTGGATTGCATTCAATCTACAGATCAGTTTGGGAAGAACTCAGAGTTTGACAATATTGAGCCTTCTTACCCATGAACGTGGAATCTCTCTCCATTTATTCTTCTTTGATTTAGCTATCAGCTTCAGGGTTTTTTTGTATGTTCTTTTTCAAGTTGAGAAAGTTCCCCTCTGTTCCCAGTTTGCTGAGAGTTTTTGTTATAAATGGCCGTTGGGTTTTGTTAAATGCTTTTTGTACATCTAATAATATGATCATGTGATTTTTCTTCTTTACTCTCTTGATTATGTTAATTGATTTTTCAAATGTTGAACCAGACTTGCATAACCTGGGAGAAATCCCACTTGGTTGTGGTTCATAATTCTTTTTATGCATTGTTAGATTCGATTTGCTAATAATTTTGTTGAGGATTTTTCTTTATGTTGATGAGAGATATTGGTCTCTAATTTATAACATCTTTGTCTGGTTTTGTTATTAGGGTAGTGCTGGCCTCATAGAATGAGTTAGGAGGAATTCTCTTGCTTCTGTCTTCTGGAAGAGTTTGAAGATAATTGATACAATTTCTTTCTTAAATGTTTGGTAGAATCCACCAGTGAACCCATTAGGGCCTGATGCAGAATAATTCACTGATTCAATTTATTTAAAAGCTACAGGCCTATTGCCAGATTGTCTATTTGACTTATATTTTTTATAAGTATTTAAAATAAATACTTAACTAAAAAGAGGAATACTCATTAAAAGAAATTTGGAAAAAAGAGAAAAGTAGAAACTTACAGCACAAACAACAAATGATGTGTTCCCTTTATGAGTTCCATTGGTTTGACTTACTGCTCTTATTTCTGCATGTTGATTAGAATGTTTGACATGACGTGTCTGACATGTGTCAGTAGAATAATTGGCGTGCAGTTAAAGCGGAAAATGTGAAGAATTGCCTCAACAGTCACATTGCCTTTACATCATCTCAAAAATGCTATTTTTTATGATATGGTCCCAGACTATATATCTCATTACTTTCCAACATTAACTCTGTTGCCAGTTCTCTGTATTCATCACACTGTTTTTAACTATCAGTTAAATACCATTTCCACAGCTTAGTACTGAAGTCCCTTTATGAGCTTTTAATTAATGGACGATTCTCGTAGCCATGTGTCTTCATTGGTACTAGCCTGATAGTTGTGCCAGAAGGTCTTCACCTTGTGCCATGTGATTTTTGCTTTTGTGCCTTTCTTATGTTGTTTCTCTAGTCTGGAAGTGGTCCTTTTCATCTTCTGTTCAAATTAAAGTGTAGCTTAAGTTTAATTACCTATATGAAATAGTCCTCTCTTCTTCCTTCCTTCCCTTCAAACAGCTTTATTGAGTTGTAATTTATATATCATAAAGTTCACTTGTTCTAAGTGTATAATGAATGATTTTTAGTAAATTTATAGTGTTGGGTGAACATCATCACAGCTCAGTATTGGAACATTTCTGTCATCCCCAAAACATCCCTCATGCTCGTTTAGTCTTGCTCTTATACCCCCAACCACTAAGATGATTTCTGCCTCTATAGATTCACCTTTTGTGGACATTTCATGTAAATAAAATCATACCATATGCATTTGACTTCTTTCACTTAGCAAAATGTTTTTGAGATTTACCCATGTTGTAGCATATATCAATATTTTTTTTCCTTTTTATTGTAGGGTAGTATTCCATTGCACGGATATTTGAACTTTTGTTGCCCATTCACTACTTGATGGACATTGGGGTTGTTTCTGCTTTTTGGCTACAACGAATAATGCTGTTGTAAACATTGACATACAAATCTTTGTGTGGACATATGTTTTCCTTTCTTTTGAGTAGATACTTAGGAGTGGAATTGCTGGGTCATAAGTAAGTTTATGCTTAACTTTTGTTTTTTAATTAAAAAAATTATTTTATTTTTGGAGAGAGAGAGAGAGAGAGTACACATGCAAGTAGGGGAGAGGGGCAGAGGGAGAGAGAGAGAATCTCAAGCAGACTCCATGCTCAGTGTGGAGCCTAATGCGGGGCTCAATCCCATGACTGCGAGATCATGACCTGAGCCGAAATCAGGAGTCAGACCCTCAACTGACTGAGCTTCCAGGCATCATAGTTTATGCTTAACTTTTCTTTTCTTTTTTCTTTTTAATGTTCATTTATTTTTGAGAGAGAGAGAGTGTGAGCAGGAGAAAAGCAGAGAGAGAGGGGGACAGAGGATCCGGAGCCGGCTTTGCATGGATACCAGTGGGCCGGATGGGGGCTCAGACTCATGAACTGTGAGATCATCACCTGAGCCAAAGTTGGATGCTCAACCTACTGAGCCAACCATGAGCCCCAGTTTATGCTTACCCTTTTTTTTTGAAGCTTATTTATTTTCAGGAAGAGGAGGGTGCGTGCACATGTGCCAGTGGGGGAGAGGCAGAGAGAGAGAGAGAGAGAGAATCTCAAGCAGGTTCTGCGTTGTCAGCACAGAGCCCGACATAGGGCTTGAAACCACAAACTGTTAAGATCATGACCTGAGCCGAAGTCAGGAGTCACGTGTTTAACCAACTGAGCCACCCAGGCGCCCCATGCTTCACTTTTAAAGAAATTGTTAAACTGTGTTCCAAAGTGCCCGTACCATTTTGCATTCTCACCAGCGGTGTGTGAAGGCTCCAGTTTTTCCACATCTTCACCTCATAAGTTTTATCTTGATCTTCTTATGATAGTTTCTTTTTGTGTCATGTAGTCTCTCCAAATATTTCCTTAGCTGACTCTCTAGGCACAGCTTATAGATTTTTGTGTTCTTAGAATTTGGAGTTATTTTCATCAAGAATTTTTTGGTTAAATATTGAGGTATTTACCCTCTCTTTTTACTTTTTTCTAAAATACGTTGCTAGCCTTAGGGACCAAAGGAGAGATCAAATCTTTCCCCTTTTCCTTTAGATTCTTTTTATATGCTTTTTGGTAGACTTTGTGGCATTTTCTTTTTTACTCGAGTTCAGTTAGGCAGTCAAAAAGTAGTATTTCATATTAAATTCCCATAATGTGTAATACCAAAAACATCAGTCTAATGATAGTAAACTCCAAAGACTGTTTGCAAGTTTGGACTTACAGTTTTGAGTTACTCATTACTAGTAATATATATGGTTTGGTCAGTATTTGGAAGCAATAAACACACAAAAACTTAAACCCAAACAGCCTGACTTAGTCCCAGTTTGGCCACTGTGACAAGTTATTTCACCTCTCTGACCTTCATATCTTTTACCTAAGAAACAAGATAATAGTAATAATAGCATAATAGCAGTATCTTCACATTGCTATGAGAGCCACATAAGGAGTTTGCCTGGAAGCCCTTCTGACATGCATCAAAATTGCTAAATGGTGCTGTTACACAGTATTTGACACTCAAAGAGCCTCCAGTAGAGAGCTTTCCAACTCTCTATTAACTTTTGTTTGGGAGGTTTTTTTAGCTGTTTTATTTCATTCTCCTGGGTATCTTCTTGAAGATTTCATGTTCTTCTTGGTATGGCTTTTCCCTGTTAATCTGGGGCTGGTGATGATGAGATTGGTGTTGTTTTACTTGGTCGTTATCGTCGACACTTACGAAACTGGAGCACTGTTAAAGGTTATGTAAAAAGCATAACATGCGGATATTTGTAAAGCATTCAGCTAAAATAACAAAAATGTGGTCTATTACATTTTTTTCTGTCTTAGATAATAAACATGTTAGCCAGTGCCTTTACTTGGGAGTTCTGGGAGGGTGTGTTTATTGGTGCATGTGGAAGGTGGTTTGTCTCCTATTTGGTTGTTCTATTATTTTAAGATTATCTTTCTAGTGGTTGCCGTTAGCCACATATGGATTCCTTACATCCCCTCCAGGTTAAACATTTTCAAGATAATAAAAATAATTGGAACTGAATAAACCAGATTAGTTTTTAATATTCTGGAAGCAGCATCATCTTCTTAAGCTTCATTACTTGAAATAAATATTTCAAGTAATGAAGCTTAGGATATCTATATTACTTGAATCCGTAGGAAAAACCTTTTCCTGATTTATCTTAATTCTGGGAAAATCTGGAGGCACTCAGGTGGCTCAGTTAAGTGTCTGTCTTGGGCTCAGGTCATGATCTCATGGGTCGTGAGTTTGAGCCTCGCATCAGGCTCTGTGCTGACAGCTTGGAGCCTGCTTCGGATTCTGTGTCTCCCTCTCTCTCTGCCCCTCTCCTGCTTACACACACACACACACACACACTCTCTCTCTCTCTTTCTCTCTCTTTCTCAATAAATAAGCACTAAAAAAAAAAAAATGATTCTCTCTTCCCCTCTGTCCCTCCCTAGCTCACACACACATATGCCCTCTCCAAAAAAACAAAACAAAACCTAACAAAGCAAAAAACAAAGAAAAACATCTGAAAATTCTAGGAAAATCTGTGCTTTAAAAAAAAAATAATGTCTAATTTTTTTATTTGTATAATTATATAATCTTGATGTTAATAAAAATTAAGGTTGAAATATGGTAGTCATGAGAATTTTTTTTTTAGTGTCAAGAATCTCACTACAGCTGTCAAGAGTAACTATTGAAAGTGTTCTCAGGGGTGCCTGGGTGGCGCAGTCGGTTAAGCGTCCGACTTCAGCCAGGTCACGATCTCGCGGTCTGTGAGTTCGAGCCCCGCGTCAGGCTCTGGGCTGATGGCTCAGAGCCTGGAGCCTGTTTCCTATTCTGTGTCTCCCTCTCTCTCTGCCCCTCCCCCGTTCATGCTCTGTCTCTCTCTGTCCCCCCAAAAAATAAATAAACGTTGAAAAAAAAATTAAAAAAAAAATAAATAAATAAATAAAAGAAAGTGTTCTTAGATTTTGAAGTTGTTTCCATTAAAGCTATTTTTAGTTAAATATTGGGGTATTTACCTTTTCATCACTCTTTTCTCCAGTGGCCTGCTGGCCTTTGAGGCCAAAGTAGAAATGGAATCTTTTGTTTTTAAAAAATTTTTTTCTTGTGTTTTTCTGTTAGACTTTTAGTATATTTGTTACCTAAGCCCAACTGCTCAATCCACTAGGAAGCTCAGAGCTGACTTTGCTACCCACTTCTAGTGATTTTGATATATTAACTTTGTTCCAAGCATTAATTCACTATTCTATTCATACTTCCCTTAACTTACATACTTATTTTATCATACCATACTATTCGTATTTTTTTATGCCACACAAACAGGATAGCATACAGTTTTTCTATAGCAAGACATATGCATTCTTAGCCATCATCTTAGCCATGCATTCTATGCCATCATCATGCAATAAAGCCACAGAGCTCATGAGAGAAGTGGGATATGGAAATAAAACTCAAGCACTTTGTCAGTGATACGTTAAAAGAAAAGAAATCTAATAAAAGGGTAGTAGAGTTTTACACATGTTAAATGGTTGAGAAATACTTAAATAGTATCATAAACAAGCATTTTATCTTGAAGACCTGAATCTTGTTTGTGGATATGGACTTCAGAAGGGTTGTGAGCAATAATGAAGTAGGGAAGGAAGGTGATCTGAAATAAGATGGAAAAGTATCAAAGCAGAGAAGGATGCATGAGGCTGATAACACATGAGGTGAGCTGACCTAGCTACTAGATGTTTGAAGTGTGCAGTTCGTGTGGTTTGCTTCATTAGGCCTGGTTGCCGTTTTCATATTCACCTGGCAGTTTTTTCTACCTGAAAGCATGTAAAAACAAAAGTGGCATTCTCATTATACTCAAATTATCCCCTAATACGTAAACCGAATTGGAGCAACTATCCTTTTTTCACTGTCAGCATTATAGCAGAAATAAGTGTATAAATAAGAATGTATCTTGGAGAAAGGGATTGGCTTTTTGTCAAAAACCAGCTGTTTTTCTTCACATGATTCATATTATGTTACTGAGAAGTCCAAACGATCACAGAATATTTTCTTACAGGAAACTACATTCTTAATTATGTGGCATCACAACCCAAGCTGGTGCCCTTTGTTATCCAAGCTCTAATTCAAGTCATTGCTAAAATCACCAAATTGGGATGGTTTGAGGTTCAGAAAGACCAGTTTGTCTTCAGAGAAATTATTGCTGATGTGAAGAAGTTCCTTCAGGTAAGAAAGCCTAATTACATTATTAGAACATTGCAAGTTGCTTTTTTGGTTTAGAAAACTTCTTTTCTTAAAGCTGTATGGTTTGTTCTGTGGCTACCAGTACCATATTAATTATGATTTATTGCTTATCCTCTGGGCCCTTTATTTTTTTATTGCCAGTAAATGAGGATCATGCCATTATAACATTTCCAAACCAGAAGAATGCAAATTATACTAGAAACCATCAGAAAATTAGAAAATACACAAAAGTTAGAAAATTTCAAAAAGACATGTTGTGTCATTTCTAACATGCTAGTCTGTGTGCTATATATACATGAAACATAATATTTTTTATGTATTACATGATGTAATGCTCATTACATCTCTGTGAAGTGGGTTTCATTTGCAGTGAGAAAACTGAAGCTTAGGAAAGTTAAGTAAATTGCATAAGGTTGCACAGTGACCTAGTAAAGCATAGAGCTAGCGCTTTAACAAGTTTTCTGACTTAAGAGATATATTTAACGTTTACATCATACCACATTGGCTATATTAGTTTCTCAAGAATATTTTTAGCTTAAATGATTCAACTTATAGGCACATTTAACTTATGCGAATTCAGATACTTGGACTGCAAAAAATAAAAATAAAAATAAGCCAGAGGACACTAATCTAAATTGTGCTGGTGATTCCACTTGCCTTTCCACAGAGTATCACATGTCCTGAGGTGTGATAGGGGAAATACAAATCTGCTCTTTCCAGTCTCCGCATACCTCTTAGGATGACCGTCCTGCCTTGCTCAGGATGATTCAGATATTTAAAGATACGTATTTTTTCATCCAAACGGTATCCCTAATTGCGAGAAATGTACTTTAGCTGCTGCTCTGCTGCAGAAGCGGTGATCTGTTACAGTTCTTGAGGAAAAACTGGCGGTTTGGATTGAGAGATGGTTCAGTATTGGTTTATTGGCAATTAGGGGCAATTTGGGCTTTCTGAGATTTTACTTCTTACGCAGTATATCCCTGCGTAAGCTGTAACTCTACCATATAGTGCAATTCTAGAAACCTCAGAATATGAAACACTAGACTCTGCTGCTTCTCTTTTATTCGTATTGTTTAAAAACCCTGGTTAGCAAATATTTGATCATCTAAACCTTCAGAGAAATAAATGTACTTTTAGCCCTGCGGAGAGCAGCCCTGGGGCAGAGAGATAGTTTATTCAGGGACAAATGAGTTTCTCAGTGTTGAGTTGTGCTCGTAATTTTGGCTAACAAAATAGCTCTCTCTTGTCATTTACTAAGATCACACACAGCTATCAAGAATCATTGACATAGAGAAGAAAAGACTTCTGAGTTATTGTTTTATTTTTTTTTTATATGTATAAAAATTAAGGCTGAAAACTGAATAGAATGAAGTCATTCTTGTTGGCTAACATTTCTCGAACCCTCTTTCCAGTGGCTGGTAACTTGAACTTAAGTTGAGCTTTAGTGTGCTTTTGTCAATTTTGGAAAACCAGAAGAAGCAAAATGTTTTGTCTTCCAAGTTTATTAAAGTATCACACACAAAAAAAAAAAAGCACTTGCTTTCTGGGTAGGACTTAACCTAACCTTGAGTCATGAGAAAGGCAATTGACTTTAATGTTTAAGTATTCAAATATAGTGCCACATGGTTCCTTTGGGTATTAACAGCTTCTGTGAATTTTGTACTAAAAGTTATTTTAAATTTGCTAAATCTTTAATGGCCTCAAGTTTTGTACATCTTCTTTCTGTTATTGCAGCCTTATTGCTGCCACATTGCAAACATTTATGGCCTTCCTTTCTATATACATACCCAGGAGAGCCTACTGTCCTCTGTGGCAGTCTGTTCACACTGCTGATTCACAAGATAAGGAGCAGAATGTAAATCAACATGATACCTCCTTCACTGAGAAAGACTTGCTATGAAAAATATGCCAACTAAACTAAGCAGTGTACTTATTAGGTACTTAGCTGTTTTATATTCTTGTGCAAACTCTTTTATCTGGTCATGAACCAGTACCTAGCCATTCTCGGATTAGAATGGAATTTGCAGACGACCAGCTGGTGGTCAGGGAACAGCACTTTGAGGAGCGTTGACCTGGTGTACACAGAAGATGGATGATTCACTAACAGGAAATCTGTGATTCAGTTCAAAAGGTGCAGATTGTCGTGAAGGACCGTAAAGAATTAAAATGCAACAATTATGGGATGTTTCTTTTGTTTTTTTATCCTGAGATAATAGGTAGAAGGAATGGCCAACTATAAAACTAAGACTTGAAAAATTTGTCATCTGTGGTAATGCTTTTTTATGATTACCCTATAATTAGATGTTACACTTTTTACGTTTATGCTTCTCGTGTGATTTTACAATAAGGTGATTTGTTAGTAATGGTGCATGTAGAATCTGAATTTTGATTTGAAGGAAGTTTTTGAGCTTAAAACGGAAGCTGATTAAATTAAAACCTTTATAGAGGCCATGAAACTGTATTCCATATTGATAGTCATGTATTTACCCCAGTGCGTTGGGCACTTTAGATGCCTTCATTATAGATATCATAATAAATGCATATACATGCACTGTTAAATAATATGAAAAGGGCCTAAGTGATCTTATCTGATATTAGATTAAGGGATTTAAATTAATTTCTAAGCTATTTATTAATTATATATTGAGTGCAGCTATCTCAGTAGCCTTTAAGCAAATTTATAGAACTAAAAAACATTTTTTGTTCATGCTCATTCACAGTCTTATGGAAAGTATTAAGCTAAAGTCTTGTATTTTAAGGTTTAGTTTAATATAAGTCCTAGGTGCTGAAAACATTTTGTTGAGTATTGTACAGTTCTAAGGTGGGTGAACATTCTTCCTTAATCAACTCTGTATACCTAAATTTATCCTTGAAAAAATGAACCTGAAATTATTTTTGTGAACCTCATAGCAGTTTTTCTACATATTTCAATAGATATAATATTAAGAAAATGTGATATTTCAGTGTTTAATTATTTGTTTACAGTTACTTAGGGTACACTTGGTTATTTTTCTCCATAGGGTACTGTGGAGCACTGCATAATAGGAGTAATTATCCTTTCAGAGCTGACTCAGGAAATGAACCTGGTAAGCCTTCCATCTAATAGTGACATGAAATTTGCTAAGTAATGCTGGTGCTTTCATATAAAATGTTTGTGTGGCATAAAACTCTGAATAATGGTCTTTCTTTTATTTATTTTGTTGGTGGGATAATTGGGTATTGGAACATTTTTATTGTTATTGAAAGTAACAGCCATAGTGTAAAGTACTGCAAAGAAAAGGGAATTAGACACGGTCCTTGCTCCATGGCAGTTGGTGAATTGTCCTTGTAGCCTCTGTATATAATAATATACTAACCATAAGAAATAAATTGTATAAAGAGAAACAGGCCCTTATTTGCTTACAAATAAAAGATAGTTTGGTGAATTGATTCTTGACAATGAGTACACAGCAGGACTCCTCAAAGAATAGGCCTCTTGGCACTTTGCCACTCGCTAGCATGGATTTTCACCCTGTACCAAGGAGAGTTTGTGGAAGCTATGCCTCCCCCCAATGGTGCCTTTATGAGCTCAGCAGCTGAGTACATCGTCACCTGTTTCTGTTCACTTTTGTACTTAGTTCTAAACAGAACAAAAGCAGAAGTTGGGTTCTTTGTGGGATAATGTCAAAATAAGGGGGAATGAAGGTAGTATTTATATTTTAAAACTGTTGTCATGTTGAACAGTCTGTGTTTGTGTATATGCATGTGTGTGTGAGTGTGTGTATGTGTATAAATAGGAAAAGCTTACATATCCAGGACCACTTGCCAACTCTCTTTGGAGTGTTCGTATGGTTCCTGTGCATAAAAAAAAATCACCCAAAATAACTATTTTCAACTTCAGTCCAGAATTAGAAAGTGTTTCTAGCTTTACTGGATGGATATCTTAAATTTAAAGTGCTCTCTTTGTTTATCACAGAACTTAACTCCTTGACTCCTCTGCCCTAGTGTATGTAAAGATTTCTGGCCTTAACGGGTGTATGCCAGTAGCTATGTATGTATCTCCAGGGCAGATAACAATAGTACCTGGAACGAGTTATTGTGTTAACAGGGATGTTATGACAAGGACTTTGGCTAATCCTATTAGGCTCTATAAATATGTCTAAAGAACTGTAGCTTTCTTTTTTAAAAATACATTTAAAAATAATTTTAGTATGAATATTTTATCTCATAAGAATGTAGAGAATAGTACAGCAACCCCATGTACGCATCATGTAGCTTACACAACCATCAGCTTTTTGCTAATCTTAAAACCAGAATTTTTTTTTTTTCATTTCCTACTTCATAGCATGATAGGGCTACAGACTGCTCTCGTAGTAAGGGTTTACGGTGTTTAGATGATTACTGAGACAAGTCCGGGTGATATAGAATTCTAATAAAAGTGTGATTCAAAGAGCAACCAAGTTTTGTTTTTTTTTTTTAATTATCTCAAACTTACGGAAGAATTGTGAGTATAATACATAGAAAATTTTTCTCAGCCATTTGATACTAAGTTTCCAACGTGATCCCTGAATACTTGAGTGTATTTCCTAAATACAAGGACATTCTCCTATGTAATTATAATAAGACCATGAAAATCAGAAAGCTAACACTGGCCTATTACTATCATCCTCGTATTCTATTTGAGTTTCACCATTTGTCCAAGAAAGGAACCAGTTTGGGATCGTGCGCCTTATTTGTTTGACATGTTCCTCATCAGTCTGGAAAAATTCCTCACTTTTTCCCTCACTTTCATGACCTTGACACTTGTGAAAATTACAGACCAGTTGTTTTGTGAAATGTCCCTCAATTTGGGATTGCCTGATGTTTCTTTATTATTAGATTCAGATTATGCGCATTGGTCAGGAATATCACAGAAATGATAGTGTGTGATCTTCTCATTGCCTCCAGTCAGGAAGCACATGATTTGATTTGTTACATTACTAATGATGTTTACTTTGGTTACTTGATTAAGATGGTTTCTACTAGGCTTTTCCAATTGTAGGTTTATTTTTGTTCTTTGCAAATAATAAGTATTTTAAGACTCTGAAAATACCCATTCCTCACCAGACTTTTAATTTATTCACTTATTTATATCAGTATGGATTCTTGTTTTCCTATTTTATGTAATAGGTTATAATTTGTTACTAACATTATAGTTTGATGCTCAAATTTTGCCAGATTTGGCCAGGAGGAACCCTTTCAAGCTAGCTTCTATGTCTAATGACATTTACTCACCATTTTTGAATATTTTCTTACTTTCTGACACAGGATGTTCCAAGCTTATCTTGTATAGAACCAAGTGCCTTTTGAAAAAAGCTTCAAGGTCTGAAGTGTGATTTGGGCTTTGTATTGTGGAAAGTATATGGCTTTTGTGGACACATTTTACTTAGCCTAATTTTATGGCATTTATCATTTCAGCGAGCATTTGGTAGGTACAGTACTTCTGAATTAGGCAGCAGGGAGATCTGCAATGCATGAATTAAGTCAATGTTATCATTGTTAAATGTGAGCCAGGTAAATTCATAGTGTTAATAACAAGATGGAATTTTTAAAGAAAAACATCTAAACTTGAGGTTTCCTAAAAGAGGATTATATACTGTCTTGTGTTTTTAGAAGCCAGTCTACTGTTCCTACTGTTCCTGGAGGTTACTCAACAAGAAGTAAAATATCCTTTGCCTACATTGTAGAGGCGTAGATGGTAGAAAATAGATGTGCAATCCCTCTTCTCAAAAAAATGGATAGCTACATGATTAACCCAAATAAAATAAGCTTATAGGCCTTGAAGATAATTGAAATAAGACTGGATTTGTGTTTTAGCTCTGTTGCTTACTACTTTGGACAAATTTCTGAACATCTTTGAGCTTACATATATATATCACTATCTGGAAAGTGAGAATGACACCTTCCATGGATCTTGTTAAGATTAGATAAACTTCTCGCTCTACGGCCTGGTAAATACAAGTGCTCTATAAACCCAAGGTCGTTCTGTTCCTGTTACAGATACGGTGGTAATGAGAGGTTGGTCTAAGACAATGTGCCTATAAACTTTAATTTTCATGTGTATACAGAGGATAATACATATTTCACAGGTTACTTTGAGAATTAAGTGAAATAATATGTGAAGAGGACTTCACAAATTACAATACTGTATGCTACTATTAATTTGTATTAACGAAAGGGTTTTTTATATTGAGGGAAATATTTTAGGAGAGACAAACTGATTGAAATTTGGTTGAAAAGTGGGGAATAATGCTGGAAATGCTAATTTGAACCTTGCATATTGACTACAGATTCCAGTAGCTATTTTCTGGAATCATTTTGTACTTCTGTTATATTTCATGTTTCTGTAAGTAAATGTGGCATTTAAGTATAGCCTAAATTGTATGATGGAGCTTAGCAAGTATCAGATAATTATCAGTTTTGAGATCACTGCTTTTTTTTAAATCTATAAGCATTAGTAAAAGAAAATGGTTTATTTTCTTCTATCACATAGCAAAAAGAATGCTATAGTGACTGTAGCCCATGGTGTTAATGATCACGTGGGTATCAGACTTCAACTTTGTTTGCTGTTTGCTCTTGATAAATGGAAGATTTAATGGCATTAAATAGTATAGTTTTGACCATATATTTATTTTTTATTAACTTTTTTTTAATGTTTAATTTTTAAGGAGAGACAGAGTATGAGTGGGGCAGGGGCAGAGAGAGAGGGAGATACAGAATCGGAAGCAGGCTCCAGGCTCTGAGTTGTCAGCACAGAGCCCAATGTGGGGTCTAACTCACAAACCATGAGATCATGACCAGAGTGGAAGTCAGATGCTTAACTGAGCCACCCAGGCACCCCTGCCTTGGTTTCTTTATAAAACACCAAGGATATATGAACCAATGACATTTCTAGTGTATAAGAGGAATACTATTTTTGTATGAAGAATTTTTCTATGATTGTTAACTGAATCACAGAAAGTTAGAATTTGAAGATTATTTTAGAGATTTGTCATTTTACATATGGAATCTGAGGAATAGGGAAGTTGTTACTCACCTCTTGTGAAATGGTACATGGTTCAGGAGTTGATAGTCATAGTATCTGTTATTTAAAAAAATTTTTATGTTTTATTTTTGAGAGAGAGACAAGACCGAGCGTGAGTGGGGAAGGGGCAGAGAGAGAGGGAGACACAGAATCCGAAGCAGACTCCAAACTCTGAGCTGTCAGCACAGACCCAGACAAGGGGCTCGAACCCATGAACTACGAGATCATGACCTGAGCTGAAGTTGGACATTCAACTGACTGAGCCACCCAGATGCCCCACTACCTATTTTTTAATAATCTGTGTTCATATTGCCTCTGAAAGTATGGTCAGTTCTGGTTTTTAATTTGGGGATTGGTAGGGTTTGTAGAAAGAGCACGGAATTGAAACAGTCCAGAAACTTGGGTTCTAACTGTGGGTCTGCCATGAACTTTTTGAGTAACGTTAGGCAAGGCACTTATCTCAGTAGGTTCTTAAAAGCTCTTTTAACTCTGTATGCTTCTTTAATCATTATTTCCATTCCTTTTCTTGTAAAGTTTTGCTTTCCTGTTTGGTAAGTCTGATTAAATCATCTTGATCTTTTTAGGTTGATTATTCTAGACCTTCAGCAAAACACAGAAAAATAGCTACCTCATTTCGTGACACTTCTCTCAAAGACATTTTAGTGCTAGCATGCTCTCTTTTAAAAGAGGTAAGTTATTCAATAATTCAATATCCTACTTAGGGTATTTAGGAGATTTAAGTTCCAAAAGAATTTCAAATGAATCCCTCTTCCCCAACCCCCATTCTGTCTTTGGAAGAGTTGCTGTGAACAATCTTAATTTCAGTATAGTAGATTTCTACAGATCTGTAAGAGGTTTCCAAAAAATTCACTTTTATTTAATAGGGATATAATAAAACAAAATCCAAAGGGAATTTAGTAACCCATCTTTAGGTAGTAGTTTCTTTGCCTTCCTACTAATAGAGTATTTATTGCAGAAGCTGATTGAGACTTAGTTTATTTTAGTTGCTTGTATTTTAATGGGATGCAGATGAACAATGAAATGAGAGTAAGTTTTCCTAATTCATCAACTATTGATATTTATTCATAGGTGAGCCAAGACAGTTAACTTTAATAATTTCTTTGGGAAATAATATTTTTTCCATTTGCTACTTGGTGCCCTGTTCGAGCATTAGGGATAGTACAATTCATAATTACATTGTGTTTGCTTATAATATAGGGATTCCACCATGCTATTCAAGCTTTTTAATTGGTGTTGTATAGCATTTCCCAAAGTATGTTCCAGTTAGCAGCAGTTGCTAATTATTTCAGTTCTGTGGTATAGTAACATGATAACTTCTGGAGTTAGCCGGACGGAAAGACCCTTTATTATTTTTTCAATTAAATTTTTAAAAATGTTTATTTATTTTTGAGAGAGAAAGCATGAGTGGGGGAGGGGCAGAGAACAAGGGGGACAGAGGAGCTGAAGGGACTGTGTACTGACAGCTCAAGCTAATGTGGGGCTCGAACTCACAAACCATGAGATCATGACCTGAGCTGAAGTCTCAACCCACTGAGCCATCCAGGCTCCCCGACCTTCTATTATTTCAAAATTTTTCTTTTTGTATGGAAAATTTTAACATATACAAAAGAAAGTGGAAGAGTATTATGAACTCCCTTGGACCAATCAACCAATTAAGCAGTAACAACTCATGACTAGTCTTGTTTCATCTCTGTACTTTTCTAACAACTTTCCTTTTTTGTGTGTTATTCTTTAAGCAGAATCCTAACCTTCATATCATTTCCTCCACAAATATTTCACAGTGTGTCTTTAGTAGATATATCTATTTGGTTGTGTCAGAATGGATATTTGGGGTTGGGGGTTCAGGAAGTGGGGTATGGTCAGGATTATTCTCCAGAAGTTTGTTGAGTGTCTTTCATTCAGACAGCTTGACAACCTTTGTTAGCTGAATGTGGATCATTTATATGTGAAGTTCCCCCACTTGAAGAATAGTATATTTTCAGCTGTTCTAAGCAACCTTTGAGCTAATAAATCCCATAGATTTATACATTTGTGCTGTGTAAAGTATTTGTCCTCGAGTTACTTTTTATAACTTTAGAAGATGACCTACAGTTTGCAGTTAAGTGTAAAAAGTCTTATTCTCATTTGAGAAAATAAAACCTGAAAATAGTCTATTGTAGATTTTTGTTGATAGTGATTTTACAACTTTTTCTACTATATACAACAACATATCTTTGCAAACTTTTTTTCCTAATTCTAATTTGGCATTGAAGAGTTACTTACATTAGTGAACTGAGAATTTGTTTATTGACATGTTTCCTAATGTTTTACTTGACTTTCAACTTTTTTCAGGTGTTGGCCAAACCTTTAAATCTTCAGGATCAAGGTCAACAAAATCTAGTAATGCAGGTCTTGAAACTGGTCCTCAACTGCCTTAACTTTGACTTCATTGGCAGTTCAGCAGACGAATCTGCCGATGATCTTTGCACAGTGCAGATTCCAACAACCTGGAGAACAAGTAAGAAGAAAGTTTAGTGTGAGGCATGGCAGAGTAAAAGGCACAGAATTAAGAAGTAGAGTTGCCACATGTGCAGTTATCTCTAGTTTTTGTTAGACGATCAAAAAATTCAGAAAGATTTGTAACACAAGACAGCTGCTGATACCCAGCAGTGAAATGTTTTCCCTAATTCATATTAAAGGAATTTCCATATTTTGATATTGAAAAATAGGAAAGATAGTCCTAGAGTTAGGGGGAAACAGGTTTGGGAAGGAAAATGAAGAGTTCTGTTTTGAAATGTTCAGATAAAGTGGGAAAGGCTATAACACTCGGCAAGAGAAAACATAGTTTTCAGTGTTAGGAAGAGAATGAAATTAGAGTAACTGACTTAGCAGAGCAGAATTGCAACTTCCTCTCTTACAGAGAAGGATACCAAGAAAAAGCAAGGTGATCTGCCCTCACACATTGTAGAAAGATGATTGCACTAGGGTATTCCTGAAGTCAGAAGTGAAGAACAGGGCTGAAAGGGCTTGGTAAAAAGTCTGTATTCTGCACAAAGTCCCCAGGATCTCCTCTACCACCTGTGCAATGAGGTGACCACCTTTTCCTTTTTCTTCCCGTGTGCACTTCCCTCTTATTTCCCAAGAGCAGACCTTTTTTCCTTGAGAAATTAAACTGGATATTCAGGGATTTAGATACAGTAGAGAAACACTACAGATTTCGTGAAAACTTCTAATATGGAAGTTCTGTTTTGAACTGTTTTAATCAAAACAAACACTTAATAGAGACCTGGTATCCTTGGTATCATGGTGAATACATGAACTAACAAATGTAATAAAATTGCACAGACTACACACACACACACACACACACACACCATACATACATACATGAGTACATGTAAAAATGGGAAATATGAATAAGATTGATGAATTGTATCAATGTGATTTCCTGGTTGTAATACTGTACTGTAGTTTTGCAAGAACTTGCCTTTGGAGGAAGCTGAATAAAGTGCTCATGGAGTCTCTCTGTATTGTTTCTTGCAAATGCAGATGCATCTATAATTACCCCAAAAAGTTTTTGTTATTTTTTTCAAAAGGAGAGTTTAGTAGAAACAAAGTAAAGAGTAAGAGTGAACTTCAGAAAAGTATAGTTAATATCCCCAGGGAGATAAGAAAAGGGAACACATCCCTGAAACAAAAATAGGATATTGTTTTAAAAAGGCAAGTTCAGAAAATGTCCCAAGTATAAAAGACAGCTGCCAAAATAAAACATTTAGTAAAAGAGTTGGAAGGTAAAGTTAAGGAAATATCGCAGAAAGTAGAGCAAAAAAGAAAACAGAGATTTGATACGAGAAAAGAAAAATACAAGAATATTAGAGCATGAAACTAGGAGATCTGGCATCTGTTAGGAGTTTAAGAAAGAGGATAGGGGGGAAAAAACCCAGAAGAAAATTTGCAAACAGATAATATCAAAAAAAGTTCTCAGCACTGAGACATAAATTTTCAGATTGACAGGTCCCATCAAGTACCTATCATCATGAATGAAAAAAATAAATGCTAAACTTCACAATTATAATCATATGGGAATAATGATGATAAAAAGATCCTAAAATCTAACAGAGATGAAAAATAAGTTACTTACAAAGGATTGGGGTTAAGAATGATAATAGACTCCTCACTATTAGCACTGGAAGCTAGAAGACAATGGAGTAATCTCCCCAGACTTCTGAAGGGAAATAATTTTCAAACTAGACTGAAATGTAGAACTAAGACATTTTCAGACATGCACATCCTCCTGGAATTTATCCCTTATGTATATGCTCTCTGAAAGTTACTTGATATACAAACCAAGAATGTGGAAGGTAAGGGGTTTGTGAAAAAGGAGCTTTAACACAAGATGACAATGAACAGACATAAAAAGAAGATAATTGTTTAACAAATTTAGAAACAACCAGTCCCAAGTTGAAGGCTTTAGGAGGTAGGGTAGGGGTGGGAATGGAAATTATAGGTTATTTGATGGTATTGATCATGTGGAAAATAGCATAAAGAACATTTTACAAATCGGTTGAGCATTTGGAAGGAATTAGTGACAGATCTACAACTAATCGCAGAAAAGATGCTATGATTAAATCCAGAGAGTGTTAGAAATATAATTATAGGGTACTCCTTGGCTCAGTTGCTAACATTATATAGCCATAATAAATGTAAACACTTAGAATTGATTTAATCCCAAATAGTTAATAATACTGGATGGTTGTTGAGAGAGTACAGATTGTGGTATGGGCTAAAGCATCATCAGTTGTAACAGAAATTTATTTGATAGTTTAAGTAAAACAAATAAATATTCATATAGCATGTTATTTGGAAATATGTATGTAAGTGTAGATAAGAGTTGAAAGGTACTTGGAATGGGGTGAGGTATAGCTGTTTTTTATTATACACTTTTTAATATTCTTTTTGATACTGTTTGCATTTTTAAACATTTATATTACTTTAATACAAATGAAAATAGTGAGAAGATTCTCCCAGTAAGAACTGTAGATGCTTCATAAAAATAAGCAGCATTTTAGCTAATTGGTTTCTATCTCTGTATTATGTCATCTTTCAAAGGAAAATAGCTAGGAATTAAAAGGAATTAAAAAGGTATTAAGCCTAACTGGAAAGAGTGGCCACATGCAGAGGTCTTGGAGTTCTCATTTGTGTGACAAAGTCTTACTGATTACGTTAAGAATTGAAGTAATGCTATAAGAAAATAATTTTTTTTCAGTTTTCCTGGAACCAGAAACATTGGATCTTTTCTTCAATTTGTATCATTCACTTCCACCACTACTATCTCAATTAGTAAGTAAAACTCACTCATTATTTCATTAAAAAGTATCTATGATCTTTATCGAATGGTAGTATATATTTGTTGTAAAAATTTACATTCTTGATTGGGTTTACCTCTCAAGAAATTCTTATGTCTCCTGGGATTTATATTACTTAAGCTGTTTGTCTAATTCTGTGTAAGTCACCAGTGCATTCCATTTGATGGGTGAACCCAGAACCTCTGACTCTTGATTTAGCTCCTGCCCAGAGCCAAGAAAACCTGTCAGCCTCTAAGTGTACCTTACTTTCTACCCAGTCCCCGTCCCTTCTTCTGGGCCTCAGTCCAGTCGTTGGCCATACCATCTGTTACCTTCCCTATTCCTCCCCTGTCTCTAACTCTTCTTCAACCGTCCATGCCCTAGGCTTGCCAGGCAGCCCCCATCAGTTATCTCTGAGTGAGAAACAAAGGGGATCTGCTCATGTGATTTTGTGTCCATCATTCCAGTTCATTTATTTTTTGAATTAAATTCTATCATGTACTGTAAAAATCTTAAAACTCTTTGGTTATAGAGTAACTTTGAGCCTGTGAACCTGTCTTTGTGGAATCTACAACAGAGACCAGGCAAGACTGAAAAAAAAAAAAAAAAAAGGAAAAAGTTGTCAGTTTAATATCTAAGCTTATAGATGTAAAGTTGGGGGATTCTGAAATTGCCATTTCATGAATAAAGATACTACAGACTTAAAGTACAAATCAGTGGTGTATTTGTTTAAATCTGTTATTGCCTAGAAGGGAGGAATAGACTTACAAAAATACTCTGCCTCTTTTTTTTTTTTTTTTAAACATGTCTGCTCTCCCATCTAGAGTTTAAAGATTGTGGTTTTTAAACTGGGTTCCACAGGACACTCATGTTTCCAGATGGTGCCACAGAGTTTCAGGCTTCTGTCTTTTAACCAGAATAGTTTTGTTTTTAGTTGTTTAAAAACCATGGTTTCATGTATAATTATGTTTTGGAATAAAACAAACAAGCTACTGGTGCGTAAAAAATTAAGTGGGGAACAACTGCTTTAAGAGAAAGTAACTAGCATTTATTGGGCATGACCTACTATAAGGTGCTTATCTCACCTCATCCTCAGAGGGGCCCTGCAGGGTAAGTGTTATTATCCTCACAATGTTGACAAGGAAACAGACCCATACTGACTTAAAGGAATTTCTTTAGGGCAGCAAACTAAATAATGAAGCTGAGATTCAAACCCAGGTGTTTTTGGCCCCCAGACCCTGAGTATTGTTTTGTTTTTTGTTTTGTTTTGAGAGAGAGAGAGAGAGAGAGGCAGAGAGAGAGAGGAAGGGAGAGAATCTTAAGTAGGCTCCATGCCCAACATGGAGCCCAACGCAGGGCCTGATCCCACGACTATGAGATCGTGACCTAAGCTGAAAACAAGAGTAGTACGCTCAACTGACTGAACAACCCAGGAGCCCCACCCTGGATATTTTTGATACACTAGTGGTTCCCAAACCTTCTACACATCAAAATTGCCTGAGGAGTTTTTGGTTTTTCATTTGTTTAAAACAGTAAGGACTGTGGCCAACTAGAGAACATCTAAAAAGGCTGTCCTCTGATTCTTGTCCATGTTCTCACCTTTGTTAGGAGAGCCAGACATTATGTAAAGTCTCTTAATTGAAATATTTAAATATTTAGCCACTAATTCTATTTTTTTTTTGTTTGTTTTATAAAGTGGACAAACAAACATATGTGGACCAAAACAAAACTTATGAGGGCCGTTTGGCCTGAAAAGTTGCCAGTTTTGGGCCACTCACTTAATGATCAAACAGGCTTAAAATGGTCTTCAGTAGTAGAATTAAGAACCCAAGTAGTAAAGTCCTCTGGTAAAGTATTAACTTTTGGAAGATAACTAGACCATTGATATTTTTTTGGAATTTTTGTAGAATATCTGATATTTCCAGCAGTATTTTCCAAATTGTGTCTCAAGATATTAATGGATGGTATGGGTAAGATGTACCATCACCAAATAAATTTGGGATATGCTGGATTAAGTAAAGTTACACCAAGTTACACTGAAGTAAAGTTCCCCCACTTACAGGATACCACAGTACAGAATGTACAGTATTTCTTAAACATACTCTACCACAAAACCATATTTTCATTTTGGTAGAACACCTGTTTTATTGGTTCATGAACAGAGGTGGGCATAAGAAGCAACTGGGAGCCTTTTGAGTATGTCCAAGTTGCTCTGGCATACATATATGACAATATATTAAAAGAGAACACACACAAATAGAAATTTTAGTGGTGGAGTTAAAGGGTTATGGGTAGTGATGGTGATTGATGATGTGTAGCTTTCAGGGTTCCTAGATTCTATAATGCTTTTGTATCACAAAAATTAAAAAATATTTTTTATGTAAAGACTCGTGCTCCTTACATGTGGCCATAGTTACTTTTAAAATTGAAATGAATTTTGTTGTTCCTATTTTTAGGCACTTTCATGTTTAGTTCAGTTTGCTTCTACAAGAAGGTCCTTATTTAGCAGTCCTGAACGTGCCAAGTACCTTGGTAATTTAATTAAGGGAGTAAAAAGGATACTTGAAAACCCTCAGGTATTTATGAAGTAATTTAATTAATACTTAGTATATAGAAATACAGTTTTTCTGCTGAAAGGTGTGTAATAAACTCATGATTTGATTATGATTCTGGAAGAAACATGAACTGTCATATCCATCTTCCCTTGATCTCATTTATAGTAGAAATGGACAGTTTTTAAAAATGGATGCTTTCCTGATACACTTCTGTGTTCTTCCTTTTTTATTTTTTTCCATTTTTTTTTAGGTGAATAAGAATAGAAGGTATATATCTTATTATGCTTCTGCTTTACACCATTGTACTGCATTTCTTTGCTTGCTTGTACTTCTTAAATTACTAAAGTAATTAATTCGGAGTTATATCTACCTTCTGAAGACTTAATATAAATCTGAATGTTAATATTGGAGTAAGTGGCTTTAAATTTTGAAATTATGTCTTTTTGCCCTCTTGTGGACAAATAAGAGTTTGTAGATTTAAAAACCTTTCCTATACATTAACTGCAATGTTCATTTCAGAGAATTGCAAAGCCATTATTAATTAGTGATTTTGACTGCCTCGATAACATGTTTTGTTTTGCTTTTTATTTTGTCTTTGGTTTAACATATGGATTTTAAAATGTTAAATGATTTAAGGAGATTTATCTGTCTCTTAGTTACTAATAACTTTTGAGAGGACATATAGTATCTGTACATAAAGAAAATTTGCTTGCTAGCTAAGGAGCAATTGATTTTGTATGTCATTCTCAGGAGTATTTTAGTATTTTAGGTGTTATGCTATTATTTTATTTTTTCAATGATAGCGGAATTAAGAAATTTACATGTTTTGTTGATAAATGGGATTTTACTAATGTATGTCAAAATTTTTAGTTGTTTAACTCACTGTCATCAATTAGTATGTGAAAGATAATATGGTAATATCAGATAATTGTTTTAATTGGTTTTCCAGCCTCCTCATGTTCATGTTTCATGTCTGTAAAAGTTGGCTTGAGTATTATATTATTTTAGAATTACAATCATGTAGTAAAAGATCTATTAGTATGAAGTATCTTTTTGTAATTTGTCCTTAATAATTAGATACTGTTTTATATTTTCTTGGAGCTCATATGAATGAAATTTCTTAGAAACTCTTTGAGTATTAAACATATACTCTTTGAAGTCTCTGTCATGCCAGCTACAATGCAAACAAAATGTTCAAACTTTTATAAAGATAACACTGGTGTCCTATCTTCAAGGAGCTCTCACAGACAACTGGGGGGCCTCTTTCTTGGTCTTCCTTTTTAACCTTTCCTTCTCTGAGGTTACCTCTGTGTCTTATAGTACTTCTGTTAGACTTTCTGCCCTACGTTGTAATAATTGTTTTGAATGACTTTACTTAGGGACAAGGAGTTGCTTGAGGGCTCAATGCCTATAGGTACTCAATAAATATTTATTGAATTAAAAGAAATTTCTGTTGTGTGTGCACAAATACCATTTAAGTTCATCAGTTGGTATTGCTCTTTTCCAGGGTTTCAAGAACCCATTCTTAATTTTCATCTTAAATATTTTTCAAGTCTTCTACTGACTTGTGTTTAAGCCACAGTACACATACACGTGCACACACACAGACATGTACGCACACATGCACATTTTTTCTGTAATACACTGGGTTCCTAAACATGATTTAGTCATCACAGAGGAAAGCTTTTTCCAGATCCTCTACTTTGGATTCCTTATTTTAGTCATTGATGCCAACATTAAATCCAACAGGAATCATTTGTTTTCTTTCATTAATGATGTACTCAGGTGACACAAAGTACCATATGTACCCATGAAAACCGGAAAACTTAATAAAATACTCTTGGAATTTTAGTGATAAGTCATTAGCTTGGTTTGTTTTTAAGTATTTTAAAAAGCCTTTCTTTTTGTCTCATAATTTAGGGTTTGTCTGATCCAGGTAATTATCATGAATTTTGCCGATTTTTGGCTCGTTTAAAGACAAATTATCAGCTGGGAGAATTAGTTATGGTGAAGGAATATCCTGAAGTTATCAGATTGATTGCTAACTTTACCATTACTAGCCTGCAGGTAAATAAAAACATATAATTGATGTTAAACAGTAGATACTTTTTAGGACAATTTCTTGGTAAGATTTGGTGGGGACTTTCAACATTTGTTAGAGTGCTTTGCTAAAAATACTTATTCCAGGGTTTTAGGTGAAAGTTCATTGTAACATTTTATAATAAACATTTAGAGGCTGAGTATCTACTAAAGAATGAGTTGAGAAGCTATAGTAAAATTTATGTGAAGAAATAAAAGCCGTTTTTTAAAGATTTTTTTTTAGAAAATTCTTTTTATAAGTTGGGGGGAAGCTTTAAAACCACATTTTCCACATGATATGAACTCAAAAATATTCATGGAAAGATTAGACGGAAGCACACCAACTTTTAATAGCGATCACCCTTGGGTGGTAGAATGAGAGATTATTGGTTTCTTCTTTATGCTTTTTTGCATTTATTTACAAAATTTGCTATGTTAATGATGATTGGTTATATGATCAGAATAGAAGTTAATTTTAAAGTCTGTGTTTAGTAATTTTGTTTAGAAAATCTGTGTTTAGTAATTCTGTCTTATTAATTCTTAATTCTAAGAAGATATGTCATTTTAAATAACGTTTGCTTTATTTCTTTGTAGCATTGGGAATTTGCTCCCAACAGTGTTCATTATTTATTAACTCTGTGGCAAAGGATGGTAGCATCAGTTCCTTTTGTGAAATCAACTGAGCCCCACTTATTAGACACTTATGCACCAGAAATCACGAAGGCCTTTATCACTTCTCGCTTGGAATCTGTTGCCATAGTTGTGAGGTATTGAAAACTAAATGTTTCTGTTGTATTTTTATCTTTTGCATCTTAGAATTTAAAAAATTTGAGGTATAATTTACCTAGTGTAAAATCACCCTTTTTAGTGAATAGGTCTATGAGTTCTGACACATGCATATAGTTGTATAACTACCATTACAGTCAAGATAGAGACTAGTTTCATCACACCAGAAAGTTCTTCTGTGTCCCTTATAGTCAGTCCTTTCTCCACCCTCAGACTCTGGCACTTACTTATTTGTTCTGTTTTCCTATAGTTTTTGCCTTTTTAGAATGTTGTATAGATATAATATATAGCCTTTTAGTTCAGCTTCTTTCACTTGACATAATGTATTTGAGATTCCTCCATGTTGCATCAGGAGTTCTTAAAATTTATTGCTGAATGGTATTTCATTTCCTGGATATATCAGTTTGTTTATCCATTCACTCGTTGATGGACATTTGGGTTGTTTCCATTTTTGTCAATTATGAATAAAACAGCTGTAAACATTGCTGTGCAGGTTTTTGTGTGAACATAAGTTTTTATTTCTCTTGGGTAAATGTGTAGGTGGCAGATTTCTGGGTTGCATGGTGAGTGTGTGTTTTACTTTATAAGAAACTGCCAAACTGTTTTGCAAAGTGGCATTCCCACCAGCAATGTATGAGAGACCTAATTGCCCTTTATTCTCATCGGCACTTGATATTGTCAATTTTTTTTTTAAATTTTAGTCATTCTAATAGGTGTGTAGTGGTACCTCATTTGGGGTTTAATGTGCATTCTCTTAATGACCAATATTATTTACCATTTGTATATATTATTTGGTAAAGCACCTGTTAAATTTGTTGCCCTTTTTTAAAATTGGGTTGTTTATTATATTGAGATTTAAGAGGTCTATATATGAGATCACAAATCTTTTTATTGTATGTGTTTTGTAAATATTATCTTTTAATCCATAGCTTGCCTTTTCATTTCCTTCACAGTCTTTCAAAGAAGTTTTAGAGTTAAGTGAAGTTCAATTCATCTTTTATTTTTTCTTTTACAAGTTTTATAGTTTTAGAATTTACATTTACTTCTGTGATCCATTTCGAGTTAATTTTTATATGAGATAGCTTGAAGTTATTTTTTGTTTTTTTGTTTTTTTTATGGGTGACCAATTATCCCAGCATCATTTGTGGAGAAGACTATCTCTTCTCCATTGTATTGCCTTTATACTGTTTTCAAAAATTAATTGACCACACGTGTGCTTTCTGGACTCTGTTCTCATTAATCTATATATTTTTCCTTCTGCCAATACCCTGTCTTGAATACAGTAGCCCTATAAGCTTTGAAATCAGGTAGTGTGAGTCTTTTACCTTGGTTTCCCTTTTTCAGTTGTTTTGGTTTTTTTACTTCCTTTGCTTTCCCATGTAAACTTTAGGATTCTCTTGTATCTATAAAAAATCTTGCTGAGATTTTGATTAGGATTGCTTTAAATTTGTAGATTAACCTGGGGGAAGAATTGATACCTCGGCAGTATCAGGTCTTTCAGTCAATAATCATGTTTATCTTTTAATTTATTTAGCTCTTTTGTGATTTCTTTGCTTAGTGTTGTGTTGTATTAAGCCTTCATTTTTTTTTTTTTGTTTTTTTTTTTAATTTTTTTTTCAACATTTATTTATTTTTGGGACAGAGAGAGACAGAGCATGAACGGGGGAGGGGCAGAGAGAGAGGGAGACACAGAATTGGAAACAGGCTCCAGGCTCTGAGCCATCCGCCCAGAGCCCGACGCGGGGCTCGAACTCACGGAGCGCGAGATCGTGACCTGGCTGAAGTCGGACGCTTAACCGACTGCGCCACCCAGGCGCCCCATAAGCCTTCAGATTTTATATATGTTTAATTAGGTTTAATGAATTAGATTTTTTTCTGATTTCTTTGGAACATGCAGTTTTTTAAATGTCAAGTTCCAATTGTTCATTGCTAGTAATTAGTAATGTGGTTGAGTTTTGTATATTGACCCTGTTATGCTAGGACCTTGGTAAACTCATCTGTAAGTAATTGTAGCTTTTTTTATGGTTTCTTTGGGATTTTTCATGTGTACAATCATGTCGTCTTCGAACATAGGTATTTTATCTCTTACTTTCCAATCCATTTGTCTTCTTTTTCTTTATCCATGATGGAATTTTTGTTTAACATAAAGTTTATTTGTAGTGAATAGAAGCTTATCACATTTAAAAAATGTATATCATATCCTAATGTTGGCTGTGAACCTGTTCTTATATATTTGCAGAGATAATTTAGATGATCCACTGGATGACACTGCTACTGTGTTTCAGCAGCTCGAACAGTTGTGCACTGTCAGCAGATGTGAATATGAAAAGACGTGCACTCTTCTTGTACAGTTGTTTGACCAAAATGCGCAGAATTACCAAAAGCTTCTTCATTCAGCTTCTGGGATAACTGTGGACATGGCAATTCAGGAAGGTCAGTAAACTTTGTATGACTATATATGGTATTATGTTGAATTTTAAGTAGCTTCATTAATCACTTTAATACTTTTACTGCAAATTATTTTTATGTATTTCCCCCAATTCCTCGTCCTCTAATAAGCCATTAATTTTGTTAGCCTTCTGGGTATTTTGGTTGCCTGGTGGTTAATTTTCAGTTCTCATTTATAAGATACATGGGAAGTATTTCTCTGGAATCGGTATCAAGGAAAGCTGATAATGGTATTTGAGTAGAGTTCATTAACTTGTAACTATCTTTTAACTAATCATGTTTTCTTCTTTGCTATAGTTGACTGCAAATTCAAAGCCCAATTTCATCCAATAAAAAATTGTGTAAGACCTCATTATGGTTTTGCATTTGTGTATTATCCTTCACTATGGCTTTAGTTTACTATTACATTTGAATCCTCACTTTCCTCATTATTTTTCTTTAATGCTTTATTGAAGGAGGGTTTATTTATTTCTGAATGTCCCTTTAAATCCTTTCAGGAACATTGCAGGGAATAAAATTAAATAAATATATTTTTCACATTTTTAAAAAATGAAATGAATATGAGAATGGAACTGACTTTATCCATTTCTAAAAGAAGACACTTTAATTATGGTTCCAGAATGTTTTTCTTTTATGTTTTTTTTCCTTTTATTGTTTCGGGAAGTGAGTGGTAAGGGATGATAGACTCCGTGATTTCCTATCTAAACTCTTTTCAAAACATTGTTTAAAAGATTATCTTTTACTTTTATATAATGTCTTAAAATGTCTTTTATTATCTGTTTTTGTTTTTGTGTTTGGAGTCACACATTAAAAAACTGCTGACAGGCTACATAGTGGAGTAGTTAACCTCTACTTCAAATAATCTCTCTTATTAAGATCTCATTATTTATAAATTAAATTAAGGAGCAATATTTTTGCAGCATTTTAGTCTTTTCATGGTTGATTTCTTCCTTCAGAGTTTTCAAAATTATTAAATATTAAATACGTACAAAAGGCTGTGTATACATATTGAGACATGGTGCATAGCAATAACAAACAGCATCACACAGCGTAAAGAATAGGTCAGTATCCGTATCTTTGTTGTTCCCATTGTTTCTCTGTCCAAATCTGTCCTTTCTTCCAGCAGAAAATACTTGGAATCTTGAATTTTGCATTTATCAATTAGTGCCTTTTGTTACTCATAGTAGTACTGTGTGTGTGTGTGTGTGTGTGTGTGTGTGTATGTGTGTATGGGTGTATACAGACACATGTGTGTGTGTGTGTATGTGTGTATGGGTGTATACAGACACATGTGTGTGTGTGTGTGTATATATATATATATATATATATATATATATTCTGGAAATAATTCATGGTTTTGCAAATTTCTGAACCTTATACAACTGTATACAATGAAACTGCATTCTACAACTTACTTTATTTTTTTTCCTCAGTATTGCATTTATGAGGATTTGTATTGATGCTATGGCTGTAGTTCCTTGATTTGCACTGCCACTGTTCTGTTGTTTGAATACACCAAATTTATTTATGCATCTTCTTGTCAGTGGATATTTGTATTTTTTCTGCTTTTTGCTAATGGAATGAGTGCAGCTGTGTAAAGATTGTTATGTATATCCATTACATAGTTTCAGTAGAATGATGCCAAACTCGTTTACAGAGTGATTTTCTACTTTACTTCCCACCCACCCTCACATAGATCTTTGCCAACACCTCATAATGTTAGACTTAAAATTTTTACCAGACTAGTTCAGGTAATATACCTCATGGGTATTTTAGTTTTTTTCTCATAATTAATGAAGTTTAGTATTGTTTTATGTTTGTTGACTGGTATTTGTGTCATTATCAATGACACATATTTATGATTTTTGTTCATTTTTCTACTCACCATTTGGATTATTAGTTTATCTTTTACTGATTGAATTCTTTTTGCGTTTTTGATGCTAACCCTTTAGTGATTTGAATTGTAAATATTGTCCCCAAGTTTGTGATCTGCCTTTACATGTCACTTTAATGTATCTGTTCTCTTAGTTATTTTTCATATCAAACTTTATTTTAATTAAATCACCTAATCTTTTTAAAGAGGTAATATGTCCCCATTATCCAGAAAAAATAAATTAAAATGTGTTTCTGTTTCAGTTCTATGATCTGTCCTCTTGTTCTTCACTCTATGTAGCAATTTTTACTAGTTTTGTGTATATTTTCAAAGTTTCTGCATGCATATACAAACAACTATGAATTTATAAATCTTATCCCTCTTTATTTACTTAGGATGTGGTATACACCCTTAGTGTTCTACTCTTGCTTTTTCTTTCATTTAACAGTGTACTTTATAGCTATTTTCAAATTTAGAGAATGCTTATTTTTTATAGATGCATAATATTTTATTCTTACTGTATCATTATTTAATCATTCTTTCTACCATTGAAAGTCATTAGAATTATTTTTCATCTCCAGCTATTAAAATTAATGCCATATAGATTAACCATGTATATATATCATTTTATGTGTATACAAGTATATATAGAAGATAAATTCCCAGAGTAGAATTACTATTGGCTAAAAGGGTAAATATTTACAACTTTTAGAGATATTGCCAAATTACTTTTGGAAAGGACTATGTCAATTTACTTGTCCACCAGCTAGCTATCTATGGGAGTGTTTCCATATTGCCTTCACAGGATAATTTTACCAGGCTTTTGAATTCTTAGCAATTCTATAGGTGAAAAATCGTTTCTTAGTATAATTTAATATTCTCATGTCAGTTAGGCATTAAGTTTATTTAAGACTATTTAGTCTTGTTTTTCTGTAATGACATGTTAATTTCTTTGCTGTTTTTTGGGTGTTGGTCCTTACTTTTCTTATTGATTTTTTTTTTTTATAAGAGCTCTTTGTATTTTAGAAAAATGAGCTCCTTGTCTGTGGTAAGAGTTGCAAATCTCTTTTTCTTTTTTCTTTCTTTCTTTCTTTCTTTCTTTCTTTCTTTCTTCCTTTCTTTCTTTCTTTCTTTTTTTGAGTGTACAGTTTGATGAATTTAACAGTTATTCATAGCCATGTAACTATCACCCCATTCAAAATAGAATTTCCTGCACTCCAAATAATTTCCTCATGCTCTTTGATCCCTTTCCCTGACTCTTGACATGGGAACCACTGGTTTCTGTAATTGTGGTTTGTCTCTTTTAAATTTTTGCATAAATGGAATCATACAGTAAGTAGTCTTTTGTGGTTGACTTTGCATAGCATAATGTTTTTGACATTCAAATATATTGTGTATATTAATATTTTGTTTCTTTTTATTGCTGCATAGTATTCCATAGTATAGTTCTATCTATAAAACTGTAGTCTATCCACTGTGTGATGGACATTTGAGTTCCACTTTCAATTGGGAGGCTATTATGAATAATGGTGGTATGAACATTTGCAGACAAGTCTTTGTGTGTTTTTAAATTTTTATTTCTCTTGGGTAAATACCTAAGACAGATTGCTGGGTCATATGAGAAATGTATGTTTAATTATAGGATACTACTGGGGCGCCTGGGTGACTCAGTCGGTTGAGTGTCCGACTTTGGCTCAGGTCATGATCTCGCAGTTCGTGAGTTCAAGCCCCACATCGGGCTCTGTGCTGACAACTCAGAGCCTGGAACCTACTTCAGATTCTGTGTCTCCCTCTCTCTGCCCCTTCCCTGCTCATGCTATATCTGTTAAAAATGAATAAATGTTAAAAATATATATATATAGGATACTACTATATTGTTGTACAAAGTACCATTTTCCATTCTCATTATTTTCTCTACATCTGCATCATGATTTGATAGTGTCTTCTTAACCTTAGCCATTCTACTGGGTATCTAAAAGTGTATCATTATGGTTATAATTTGCATGTCCCTAATACTTAACAGTGGTGTGCTTTTTGGCCATTCATATATCTTCTCTTGTGCACTATTTGCTCACCTTTTTTGTCTATTTTTAAATTAGATTGTTCTTTTATATGTATTCTTATTGGAATTGTAGGACTGTTTTACATATTCTGTATATAATTTCTTTTTCACATAAATGTTTGCAAGTATTTTTCTCTCTGTTGTTTCTCTTCAACTGTTTTTCAAAGAGCAGAAGTTTTAAATGTTGATGATCTACCTTTTCAATTGTTTCTTTCTGGCTTATGCTTCTTGTATTTACGAAATCCTGTGCAGTGCAAGTCACAGAGATGTTCTTCTGTATTTTCTTCTAGAGGTTTAATAGTTTTAGCTATTATGTTTAAATTCGTGAACTTCCTGGCATTAACTTTTGTGAATAGTGTGAGTTGGGGGTAAGGCCCCATCCCCAGCCCATACAATTATATAGTTGTTCTAGCACCATTTGCTGTAACAACTATCTTTTCCCCCACTGAATTATTGTAACACCTTTGTCAAAAATCCATTGGTTATAAAAGGCTAGGGTTTATTACTGGACTCTATTCTCTACCATTGATCAGTATGTCTGTCCTTATGTCAGTGTTATACTGTCTCGGTTACTGTAATTTTGTAAGTCTTGAAATCAGGTAATCTAACTGTCTCATTCTTCTGTCTCAAAATAGTTGTGTCTGTTCTCGATCTTTTGCCTTTCTTTATTAATTTTAGCATCAGCTTGTTAATTTCTTTAAAAAGTCTCACTAGAATTTGATTGGGATTGCCTCAGTCTATGCATCAGTTGGGCCATCTTCACAATATTGAGTCTTCCAGTTTGTGGACATGGTCTGTTGCTCCACTTACATAGGTATCCCTTAATTTTCTTTGCAATGTTTGATTGCTTTCAGCACACAGGTATTAAAAATGTTTCACTAAATTTATTCCTATATATTTTTGATGTGGTTGTAAATCTTATAATCATTCTCTGCTATTCTATACAACCAGAATTGATTTTTCTCTTTGTGTCCTATGACTTTGCTAAATTTACTTATTCTGATAGCTTTTTTGTAGATTCTTTTGGATTGTTATATAAGATCATGTCAT